GGGGGGGGGGGTCTACTTACCCGAGTTGGTCCTGAAGCCGGCCAGCCGCACAGCGGGAAGGCGAGGAAGCAGATTTTGAGTGGTTCGCCTGCTCCACGGGGACAACACTGGGAGGAACATCACGCGCCGCAACAACATCGTCGTGCGTTCGAGTCAACGGCCACCACCGACGACAATCTTGTCAGTTTCAACTCACGAGTCCCCCTGGCCTACACCCACCCCGCCTGACCCCCTCGGACTGTTGACTGTCTGTCTACAAACAGGTTGAACTCAACTGCTGCCAGAAGTGCGTCGGCTGTTGGACAATGTGCTTGTTTTATTTATTTGTTGCGGGTTAAAGTTCTTCCAGCGAGATGGCCATAGACTGCCCAAGCAGATTGTTTTTATTTTATTTTTTTGAAGCTAAAAATCGCCATTAATAATGAATCAAGTTGAAGGTTTTCACAGAGAAAAAGGCAAAGACAACCTGTGGAATTTAGGCACCTCCATTTTTTTAGGGATAATATGGCTAAATAGGCTCTATGAAATGTCAGTAAAAGGGCTGCACTGGTTCGAGTGTCAGACTTCATCACAAATGGAAAACATTGTGGGGAAAAAAATATCAAGAGAAAAAAAGAGACTGACTTTAGGTCTCCCCATGGTCAAAGCAATTAACTTGATATTTCGGCTGAAGCTGAGGGATGTGACTCACTATTTTCTCTTCCTCGAGGTGGCCAGGAAAGTTTTCATCACTGGGTGGCACTAATGTTTTAAAATTTACAAGACAAAATCAAAAGGCTGATTAAATACTCATTTTATCTGTTATATTTGACGTGTCAGTTGGTGATGCAGAGGATAAAAATCACTTTTCCTCATGCTGAATGCTAAAAATTGTTGTCTCAGGACGACTGCATACAAGAGCATGTGCAATTTGAAATTATGCGAGGGCTGAGGATCGGTCGGTTGTAGACAATTTTGTGTTGAATGATCACACATTTTGTATTTACAAAAAAAAAAAAAGCACTTTAATTATCAAATCAAGCAAGTTTTCTCTTTCAGAATGGAATGATGTGAAAGATTTTAAGGTGAGAGTCCGTCTCCTTTGGAGATGAAAAAACCTGAAGGCAAAAAAAAAATGAATAGAAGCAGACATTACAAAAAACTCAAAATGAGTTCAAAGTGCTCAGTCCCAGCTCGGCTCCGCGGCCGAGGCGAGGGAAAGAAGGCCTGGCTCAGACTGGTCCGGGTCTAGGGCGAAAAAAACAACAACTGCAGACCAGCTTAAACATTTTTCTGCCAATGAATCATTGGCGACATATGGTGGGCGCTGCTTTAAACAACAACAAAAACAACGATTGGCCAAATGTCTACAGTAGAAATCAAAAAAAAAAAAAAAACAGCAGCATCCTCAACCTTCCTACAACTTTGAACACGCGAGCCAAAGCCGAGTTTGGAGTGTTGGGCAAAGTGGTCAGCACAGGCAATCCTTGAATGTCCTGGATGCATCGTGAAGTGGTTCAGTCGCGCTATAGCTTGATCGTGCCGGTGGGCAAGCTGCTGTTGCACAGTCTGTAGTAGCGAAGGTCGTTCACCAGCCGCTGCACGCTTTGAGTGAAGGACGGCAGGTCCTTTGAAAAGAAAGCAACATTAAAAGTCGGAAGCCGTAGTCGTGTTTCTAAATACGACTCAAGTGCCAACAAAAAGAGTGTCGGTTTCATGTTTGTTCTGACCTGTTCTATCTTGAAGTTGCGTGCGAGGACGGCTCGCTGGTTGGTGTCCACACCCTGGCAGCTGTTGAGGAACTCCGGCATGAAGGCCGAGTAGAAGGCATCAAAGTCCACAGAGGCCATGTTGTAAATGGCCAGGGTGATTTCCTCCTGGAGAAGGTCGTGACTTTTGTGGAGGAGGACCTGCAGCAGCACGTTGATGAAGTGGAAGAGCATCGAGGTCCGGAAAAGCTTCTAGAGGGATGACAAGCACGAGCGTGGATTAGCTGGACCAAGAGGTGCGAGTGGCATCTTAGTTGTGGTATGACCGCTGCTCCTTACTCTGTGATACAACTTGTGCTTGCTGTTGAGGGTCTCCAAATAGGAGAGATTCTGCTTGAAGATGTGGATGTCGGACTGCAGGAAAGACTGGCCGAAAGCCTGTGACGGACACGATAAAACACGAGTTGGAACATGATGTCCAATTTGAAACATCTTTATAATCACGAGAGCAGGAGGAGCTCGACAACATTTCAGTGTGTCTGTGGGAAATTGTTTGTTTCTGTTCTAGACGATCGCAAAAGTGTTTGCTGGAGTTGGTCGGGCGCCGAAATGCAGTGACGGGATGACGGCCGGCGGTGTGGCGGTTTACCTGCATGGCAGCCGTGAACTGGGCCTCGTTCTCCATGGCGTCCTCGGGGGCTCCTCTTTGGACACTTGTCAGAATCGAAGTTTTAAAAAAGTACCGCCAGTTTTGGTGAAGTATTTGGTATAAAAGCTCAAACATCTCCGCTTTGACATCAGGAGAGGATCGCTGGCAAAAAAGACGAATGGAACAGGAGCAAACATTTAGTCGACGGATATTTTGCCATTCGAAAATTACGCTAATGCCAGATTTGGACATTTTAAATGTTGCCCAAGCATTGCTGCGTGCATAAACGACAACAAATGAAATTCACTGACCTCTGCCACAACCGGATACACCTGCTCCATGCAGAGAGAGAGAATGCTGGGCAGAAAGGGTTTGAAAGCCTGACCGGGTTCCTGTACCACCACCTGCAGGATTTTCAAGAACTTCTGTACCACTCGGCAACCTGCGCTGCCCTCCTGCAAAATACTGGCTGCCAGCTGTTCCCTAAAACATACACCGACAGCATGGCGTCATCAAGTGTTTATCTCTCAAAATACCAACCAGTCCAACTTCACCTACAACTACCAAAGAGAGATTTTTCAAACCTGGTGAACAAGCTGAGGAATGTGTGGAGGATCTGTCCGGTGAAGGCAACGCCCATCTGGACTCGCAGCGCCTGAAACAGCGTCAAGAAGAAGGCCAACATCTCATCCGTCACATCTGAAAGACAAAAGGGGACCATCTAGAAAACCATCGTTGCTTCCCGCGGCCTTTGAAACGATATTGTGCCTGCTTTGAACGGTCGTACGAGCCTCCCGCATCGGGCGGTGGGTGAGGAAGCTCGGTAGCGTTTCATTGCGCCACGCCGAGACAAAAGGAGTTGAGGAAGAGAGACGCACTGACCTGGCTGCTGAATAAACACGGGGAAAAGGCTGAGGGACACTTGGACCGACTCCTGCAAACTCTGGTAACAGATCTGACGAGATTTGGTGGACTCGCCAGAGATGCTGTCGACTATGTCTCGAAGGACAGGCAAGGTCTGATGGATCACTGCTTTCACTGATTAAAAGAAAGACAAGAGGGGGAAAAAAAAAGGAATAAAATGATGATATCAGGGCAGGATAAAGTACATTCGGCGGTAAAAGGGAAGAATGACCTACAGTCATGCATTTCAGGTCGCCGCGGAGTTAAGTTCACCGTCCCTCTTAGCATCCGATATTCCCTGGTGAGGGCCGCCAGCATGCTGGCGTGACTGCCGGACCGTGTCTGCCACTGCTGCTCGTTCTCTGATAAATTTGGCCACGGGAGGAGCAGCATGTTGGATAAAGCCCGACACACGAGCAGGTGAGCCTGCAACCGCGCACACAAATAAAATCAATCCATCCAGTGCAGTAGATCAGAAGCTCAGAGATTGGTCATGTTCAAAAGGAGTAACAGGTATTCACCTCTAGGGGGAGCCTGTGAGTCTGATTCTCAGTGATGAGGTTAAAGATGTTCTGAACAGCAGGCAGAGACGCCAGAAACACAGGTCGCACTGTCAAGGTGATGGAAACCATCAGATGGCACGCGCACAGCAGTAACTTTTCCGGTACCTGCACACAACAACAACAACTGTCAGACAACACTGAAAAGTACACCATGTAAAACAACGAAACGATGAAATGTTAATTTCTCAAACATTGTAAAATGAACTTCTCATTCAAAACCTTGAATTGTTATCTTTGGAAAGAAGACATTTTTTTGACATGACTGCCAAATGGCTCATCTGTATAAATACCGAGAGGGGTAAATTGTTTTTAGTACGAGCGGAAAATGTTACCTTCGCGGTGATGAGGGGGCAACTGGCATCGACTGCAGACCAAAAGTGTTTGCTGGAGTTGGTCGGGCGCCGAAATGCAGTGACGGGATGACGGCCGGCGGTGTGGCGGTTTACCTGCATGGCAGCCGTGAACTGGGCCTCGTTCTCCATGGCGTCCTCGGGGGCTCCTCTTTGGACACTTGTCAGAATCGAAGTTTTAAAAAAGTACCGCCAGTTTTGGTGAAGTATTTGGTATAAAAGCTCAAACATCTCCGCTTTGACATCAGGAGAGGATCGCTGGCAAAAAAGACGAATGGAACAGGAGCAAACATTTAGTCGACGGATATTTTGCCATTCGAAAATTACGCTAATGCCAGATTTGGACATTTTAAATGTTGCCCAAGCATTGCTGCGTGCATAAACGACAACAAATGAAATTCACTGACCTCTGCCACAACCGGATACACCTGCTCCATGCAGAGAGAGAGAATGCTGGGCAGAAAGGGTTTGAAAGCCTGACCGGGTTCCTGTACCACCACCTGCAGGATTTTCAAGAACTTCTGTACCACTCGGCAACCTGCGCTGCCCTCCTGCAAAATACTGGCTGCCAGCTGTTCCCTAAAACATACACCGACAGCATGGCGTCATCAAGTGTTTATCTCTCAAAATACCAACCAGTCCAACTTCACCTACAACTACCAAAGAGAGATTTTTCAAACCTGGTGAACAAGCTGAGGAATGTGTGGAGGATCTGTCCGGTGAAGGCAACGCCCATCTGGACTCGCAGCGCCTGAAACAGCGTCAAGAAGAAGGCCAACATCTCATCCGTCACATCTGAAAGACAAAAGGGGACCATCTAGAAAACCATCGTTGCTTCCCGCGGCCTTTGAAACGATATTGTGCCTGCTTTGAACGGTCGTACGAGCCTCCCGCATCGGGCGGTGGGTGAGGAAGCTCGGTAGCGTTTCATTGCGCCACGCCGAGACAAAAGGAGTTGAGGAAGAGAGACGCACTGACCTGGCTGCTGAATAAACACGGGGAAAAGGCTGAGGGACACTTGGACCGACTCCTGCAAACTCTGGTAACAGATCTGACGAGATTTGGTGGACTCGCCAGAGATGCTGTCGACTATGTCTCGAAGGACAGGCAAGGTCTGATGGATCACTGCTTTCACTGATTAAAAGAAAGACAAGAGGGGGAAAAAAAAAGGAATAAAATGATGATATCAGGGCAGGATAAAGTACATTCGGCGGTAAAAGGGAAGAATGACCTACAGTCATGCATTTCAGGTCGCCGCGGAGTTAAGTTCACCGTCCCTCTTAGCATCCGATATTCCCTGGTGAGGGCCGCCAGCATGCTGGCGTGACTGCCGGACCGTGTCTGCCACTGCTGCTCGTTCTCTGATAAATTTGGCCACGGGAGGAGCAGCATGTTGGATAAAGCCCGACACACGAGCAGGTGAGCCTGCAACCGCGCACACAAATAAAATCAATCCATCCAGTGCAGTAGATCAGAAGCTCAGAGATTGGTCATGTTCAAAAGGAGTAACAGGTATTCACCTCTAGGGGGAGCCTGTGAGTCTGATTCTCAGTGATGAGGTTAAAGATGTTCTGAACAGCAGGCAGAGACGCCAGAAACACAGGTCGCACTGTCAAGGTGATGGAAACCATCAGATGGCACGCGCACAGCAGTAACTTTTCCGGTACCTGCACACAACAACAACAACTGTCAGACAACACTGAAAAGTACACCATGTAAAACAACGAAACGATGAAATGTTAATTTCTCAAACATTGTAAAATGAACTTCTCATTCAAAACCTTGAATTGTTATCTTTGGAAAGAAGACATTTTTTTGACATGACTGCCAAATGGCTCATCTGTATAAATACCGAGAGGGGTAAATTGTTTTTAGTACGAGCGGAAAATGTTACCTTCGCGGTGATGAGGGGGCAACTGGCATCGACTGCAGACGTTATAAGGTTGACAAACTGCCTCTGGTTTTGACTGTGGACCTCACTGTAGAACTGTGCAAGCCAATGAGAGTAGGCTTGCAAAGCTGCAAGGGCCTGTGCATGTCTGTACCGCACACACACACATGCACACGTAAACAAACCGAACATTTTAAATGTCATTGATGAATGTGCTTTCGTGGATCCGTCTATCTGTATGAATTGCACGCCACTAGGCACACTTTTTGGAGGTAGAACTTGTGTATCCATGCTTTTCGTTCAATACTTACACATCAATGAGGTCTGGTTTGAGTACAGAAGGCACGGCGGTTTCCAGGTCGTACAAGCTGGTCTGAGACCCGTAGCAAGTCACTTCTACCAGCCTGAGAAATGATAGTTGAGTTTGTTTTTACTTTGAGCAAAATACTCACAAATTAGAGAAACCCTTTAAAAAAAAAAATTTGATCATAGAAGCAAGAGTTAAATGCAGTAAGTTCAAATCCGCGGTACACTTTTCAGCTCAAACAGAATCAAAATCACGCTTTCGGAATTCTGTAAAAAGAAGACCACAGAGACCTCTCAACAACTGCAAGGGCGTCGTTGAAACGTGATGCGAAAATCTCCCCGATGAAATGTTCGGCCAGGCGCCCGACGGCTTGGAGAAGGGAGCTGAGGTCCCTGAGAGAGCAGTGAAGTCGGCGGCAGTCGTTCTCGGCGGTGATGTTCAGCCTGCGAACTGGAATGGTCGAGTTTAGATTGATTTGAGATTAGGAACCGGGCCGCAACCGCACACAATGAGGTCGCTGGTTTCTTACTTGTGCCGGTGGTGACGATAAACTGCCGCAGACCCAAGTACACATCCAAGTTTTCTTGAAGAATGGGAAACTGAAGGGGAGAACAAGTGATTTAATCAGGAGGATGGCGGTACTGTATGCGACATCAAAGATATTTCGTTTTGCTAGACTTGCATTTTCATTTTTACAACAAATTTATCTGTGACAGAATTTGACATCGACTATCAGTGGCCAACATTTGTTTGAAGTATTTTGTCGGATGGTATGCCATAAAAAAAACAAACAAACCAAAAAAATATTGATCCGGAAATTGACACAAGACGTTGCAACATCCCAAAAGGCTTTATAAAGCCAATCGCACTTGGCCGATAGGATCGAGGTAAAACATAAACATTGGTTTCGCCCAACATTGAGCACAATTACATCGAGGGAATTCACGCGCACGACATCCGTCTACATTTCTTACCAAAGTAGAAAATGCATGGGAAGGCAGCAGCTCCATCACCTTGGCAACAACCTCCAGACTCTGACGCAGGTACTTTTGCCATTCAGTCTGTTGCTGTGGTTACCAAATAAAAGACATCAGGACACACTGTAGTACAATCTGAGATTCCTCCGCGGAGAGAAACTGGCGTGACTGCACGGCGGCGTGTTCTTACATCATCATCCAGCGTCTCATCATCCAGTTCTTCTAATTGAACCTGATTGTATCGAAACTGGATGCGATTCAGAACTTCTCTCAACAGAAGGACTAAGGCATCTTTGTACCTGTAACCAAAACGACAGAGGAATCCAAATCAATTACACGTTACTATCCTCAGGCAAAAGGAACGAGCGGAGGACAAAAATGCTTTTTTTTTTTTGGACTGAAGGGTACCTGTTGAGAACACTTTCTCTGTCGGCTAGTCTGCTTTTGATTTTGGTTGTAAGAAAATCCAAAAAGACACTCCAAATATCCAAACAGGAAAAGTAGCCCTCGTGGGTAGGCTGGCGTAAAAAGCGAGAGAAAACAAACCAAGCTTATTTTTATGGACCGGTCGACGTCTTGCGCCAAATATGAAAAATAGATACCGCTCATGCCGACAGAAGAACAACAACAAAGCCGATTGGAAAGATGCTTACCTGGTTGAAGGTGTACTTGAAGAGCAGGGCAAGAAATTCTACAATTGGAAACTGAGGACTAGACTCAATCCGCCTCAAGTGAACACTGACGAACAGACGCAGGAAATCTGTGAATTTTTCCAAGTAGCTGGAAGACAAAAGATAAAAAAAAATAGAAAACAGATTTATTTAAGTTATTTAATTTGAACTCATCTTGCAAGATGACGACGTGCAGAGTGAACATTTCTGCTTTCAACAGGACTGGATGGTTTAACGTGCTAAAATTAAGGTTCAAGTAGAATTGCACATCTGTCGATTTTTATCATAAGGAGAGGAACGGTAAAATTCACGACAGGTTTTTGACGCACGAACTGACCAATCGACTGGATGACTCACTGAAAGGCTTACAGTTAATATTTACGTGAAAATGTGTTGGTCGGTTCATCGATGAGGCACCAGAAAACACTAATTATTGATTGACATTGTCATGGCATTCTACTCAGAGTTGCATTGAGAATATAAAAATATAAAACAAAAATAACTGTTGGACCCCTTTGTCCAAGTGGTCCAAAACAAACCTCTCGTCAAGTTCCTGGAGCCGACTCTTGACTGTATGAGCGTTATTCTCGCGAGTGAGCCTCTGTAGAAGAAAGAAAGTCTGCTGGAACATGCGCAACAGGTACTCCTCAAAGTCCACGGGCACACAGTTCTTGGACACCAGCTCGTTGACGCAGGTCATGGCGAGTACGCCGAGGCGGGAGCGATCAACCTTGCTACCCTCACTTTGTCGGCCTCCGCCGTTTGACGAGGGCGGCATTGTCCCGGCGTTGAGGTGCCCGTTAGAAGACGAGGAGGTCGAGGAGATGAAAGAGCCGGACTTGGCTTTCGCCCGAAGATCGCAGCCGAAGCGTGCAAAGTGGAAGATGGATGCCAGCAGAGTGGGTGTGATGTTGATGGACAGGGGAATCCAGCTGAACAGGTGGGCCAAGCACTCCAAAACGAGACAACAGAGATGCTGGCTCTCGTTGTCGAGTGCTGCCATGGGCTGGCACAGAAGCTTTGAGTACTGACTACCCTGAAACAACGTGCCCAAAAGTTCCACTGGAAGATTGAAAACACACAAAAGGAAAATGATCAACACGCAACGACGGTTGTATACAACTTACAGTCATAAACTAACAGTGGTCGTTCCGTCCTTTGCTGTCTCACAAAATTGGAGACGATCCACTCACCGCATTCTCCTGATGTGGGTGAGGGCGGCGGTGTGGAAGCGATGATGCTGTGCTTGTCCCAGTAAGTCTCCAGGATGCCTAAAAATTAGGTCAGGTGGTGAAGCCAGTTAAAATTTAGTACACCAGCACTGTGACTCCAAACCAAACAATCCACAAATACATTGCCGCCATGAAATAAATCTTTCATTTGTTCTGTGACGAAGCTCATATTGACATGATCTGAAATGCCATTACCCTGGCAACTGGCAACCCACACCTGGTGTGGCCCTCAATTAATTTCTGAAAATAAAAACTGTCAACAGTTGCTGAGGCGTTGAGAGGTGTAATACCAGTTGTAACCACAAGACGGCAAACATCGCTCACATCGCTCACCAGCACCTCTAAACCTGCAGATTGTGCTTTAGGGAAGAAGAGCATATCATGGCTGCACGCTAGTCTCCAAAGTACACAAAAAGCAGCATTTTTTTTTTTTTAAAGTGTGTGAGGAGTTCGTTAATTTGTGTCCTCCAAAAACATAAGATACTGCATATTCAGCACTTGGGGTTACACGCATATCATGACTTTGCCCACGGTATGCGGTTATCGTTTTTTTTATAGCTGAGCAGTGGATCTTATCTATAAATATTTGAACATTTAAGTACATGTACACATATATGGTAAGTCGGGACAATCAAAAGGCTCGGTATTACTTTATGAGTAGGATTTTCATTACAGGAACCTCCAATGTGTAAAAAAGTGCTTACCTGTCAACAGTCCAAGCATTGTCGGTACCTGATCCAGCAGCAGTTTCCGCAGTTCGTCTTTTCTGGCAACACTCAAGTCTTCCCGAGGACATGCGAGTTCCTCTGATGTGGTTTTCAGCATTACCAAGCCTAACTGTGCCAAAGCGGGGGACTGGATCAACTACAAATCACATAAAAAAAAGAAGAAAAAAACAGAAATGTTATGGTACTTTTAAGAGGTTGCACAAATTTTCCACAAGACTGATGAGTCATTTCAAGCAATTTGGAGGCAGACCATTGAACATCACCAAGGCTTACCTGAAGCGTGTTTGTAAAGAAATCGTGATAGAACATTGGCCAGTCCTGGCGACCAATGTCCACAATGACTTTGCAGAGTTTATTGCGGATGAAATAGGGCACCGATTTGTGGTGTTCAAGTAGGAGTTTGGGCAAACAGCTGCGAATCTCCATTTTGTCTTGCGGAGCTAAACCGATCCACATCTTGTTCACCAGGTTCTGAAAGTCAACAAGACAGTCGAATGACACACCTTAGGTAAATGAGGCCACCCGGCCGAGTGATTACTAACTCGTGGGCTGTGATTGTCAACAAAAGCCTATCTGAGCTGAGATGCAAGAATCAGGACCTTGCACTGCTCGGAGGGCCACGACGACAGAAATCAAATGAACGTTTCATCATCAAATCACAGAAAAAAAAAAAAAAAAATCGATGGCCTACTACTTATGAAATCAGTCAACTATTTGTTTGTTGTTAAATTATTACAAAATCTCAACATTATTTATTACACATGAGAATTTGGCAATTCGGTACGAATTTTAGCAAACATCGTGGAAGTTGACACCCACGATTTGCTTTACCGGGCCACATAAAATGGCATGGGGGGCCAAATATGGCCCCTGGGCCTTGACTTTGACAGGCGTGCTATACAGAATGAACCATCTGCATTCACAACTAATGGCAATTTAAATACGCGTGCATGTTTTGGGAATGCGAGAAGCCACCGCACAAAGGCGCCAAGGAAGATGGGCTAACCACACGCTCCACTGTATTGCTCTACTTTAAACCCCCTGCAGAAAAAAAAAAGAACTTACTTCAAATACTGTGAGACTGTACATCATGACATACTCATTCCGGGTATTAGAGAGGAAGAACAAGCAATGGCGCCACGCTCCAGTCTGCTGTGCAAAGTTATTCAGCAACTCTTCTGCAGAAACAAGGAAGTGGCGCTGATCACTGATAACCACCTAAGGTGTACTGCGACACTTCATTTGAACACGCAGATAGTGGGGGAAGTGAATTACAAAAGCAATGCAAACCATTGTGAAAGTCAACAAGCACGGTAAGTAGGTTGACAAATGCATCCGTATTTAAAAAGCAAAAAAAATGACTTCACCAGTATTTTGGTCTACAAGCGTGGTCGATTTTTTCCCCCCCACACGTTTTTTAATGTCATGTCTTTGTGGGCGAAAAGTAATGTTTTTTTTGGCGGATATGTGCTGCTTTTAATATCATAACAGGATGACAACGATATTGTGACAATTTTAATATTACCACAATCGTTACATCCCTACTCATGAGGTTCCACTCTTTAACGATCTGCTCTGATGCAAAGGTCACGTACCTATTTCTCGTTTTCTTTCATTGGTTGTGCAGCTGTGAAAGAATTCGGTCATCAGGCTCTCCAGTGCATGCAGCGACGCCTCCTCTGAAGCCTGATGAATAGCGATAAGGCAACAAAGAGTGCTAAATAAAACAAAGAACCTAACAATAGGTGCTGCAAATCAGAGGTACAAGACGCAGCCTCTCAAATATAATTCAGGAGTGTCTGGCATATTCAATTTGTAATCCACAGTGGAGTTTGGGTCTGAAAATGCTGTGCATGCACAAACAACATGGCTGCAAAGAGAGAACAGCTAATTCACAAAAGCTGTCGGTATTGCAATTTGGCTATTTCATTGAGTGATTTTTTTTTTCCAACCCTGTAACAACTATTTCGTGAGAGGAGGCTAGAATTGTTGCAGGACAACTTGTGGCTACTTCACCATGGCACATCTGCCAATGCCCTGAACATCTGACATTTCCTGGCCGAGAAGAACATGTCAGAGCATTTAAGTGTGGTACAGTAGGCTGGGAAATTGTTCTGGAATCCAGGGGGATTACTTCCAGTTTGGATTTCAAATACTCTCTTCGGACACACTGAGCCAAACCAGCGCAGTGCAGTACTTGCTAACATACCACGAGGACACATTAAGTTTTTAAACGAAACGTCAATTTTGTTACCATGTATTGATTGTCACCGTTCAGAATGATAAAACAAGACAGAGGTGAAGTTTTTAAAGAGGCGCTCCTGTGGCATGCGGGTCCAAATTCCTCCCATGGGCCATAACTTGCCGGGGCTCAACATGACTAAGGAAGTGTTTAGATTTGCAAGATGGGCGTCTTGTTGTGGAACTGGCCTAAGGAGCGGTCACATCCCATGAATTACCTGCAAACCGTTACACGACCAAACCGGCTTCTTCGACCTAATTATCCAAAAAGCATTGGTTTTATGTCAATAAATTGAACTATTTAAAAACTCGTTTTGTTGTTGTTTCGTTTGTCAGAAAGAGGCACATTTAAGTCCCACGTTAGCTCTTAGCATAACGGTAGGAAGAGGACACGTTGCCCAAAGACATAAAGTGTGGGTATATTGTACTTACCATGTTGGGCTGCGTCGGATGTGTCCCTCAGTTGTGTTCGTCTCGGATTAATTACGCTAATAAGACAACATTAAATTACCGAGCTAGCCAAATTTGCAGCTAGCGTTAGCTACGGTGTAGCTCGCTAACGTAACAGCAAAGGGGATTCGTCATGGTCTGCTCGCTTTGATTCGCGATTCCACGACCAAAACATTGACAATCACTTTGCCCCAAAAAAAGGAAAACATTTAGACTCGCTCGACTTGTATTCGTGCTGGATTACTGAGCATGTGATGAATAAAGCATGCTACGTCCAAATGTTCTCCATGATCGTGCGATTTCATAACCCGTTTGTTTTTTTTAAACCATTTCTTTTTGGCTGACATTCATCGCTGGTTCCAACCCCGGAAACATGTGCAACGCTGCTTAGCTTTTTGTGTTTGTGGATCAAGTATCGTGACGCGAGCGTCAGTTTAGCCAAATGCTAATGTTGCAGTGGCTAACTCACTAGCTTTTCTAGAAGGATGAAGGCATCGTTTTCGTTCGCCGTGGTAGTTTGCCAGACGTAGACATGCTTCCAGGGCTGGTGCTCGCGACAACTTGACTTAACCGCCGGTATTTTAAAAAGCGTGCAAATGTGCACGTTCAAATTGTTGTGCAGACAATTTCGGAATAATTGACAGGCTCAGCGATATAGTGCCTGTTGTTGGCCCCTACTACGCTTGGGGCGGCGCAGGAATTTGTTTCGATTAAAAGACTGCGCTCACTTGGCCACTTCCTATTTTGAAGCAGAAATCAACCATCCGAAGGCGCTAAGTGTCAAGCTACCCAGGGCAGTAAAATAGTCAACATCCTGTATTTCCTTTCAAAGTTATACACTTGAGCTGGTCTATTTGAAAACAAATACAAAATCACATTTGGACCTTTACCAATAATTTGACAATAACAGAATAAGTAGTCCCACTTCTTTTATGAAACATTCTTACTGAATAAGGTACATTATTTGACGTGTACAAGACTGAGGGGAAACTTTTTTTTTCAGAGACTAACTGAAGCATTTTTACCTTACACAAACTGGGCAATGCAATGATGACATTTATGTTATGTGGATTTACCCACGATGCATTTACTCAGTTAAAAGTCTTTAAAATACCAATATTTACATGATAAAATATGGTTATGTGTGTCCTTTTGGAGGGCAACCTTCTATGATCACTCAAGTGGTGTCTGTCTTTCTTTCAATATCTTCTCAAGGTGCCCATCAGGAGACTTCTTCATTTTATTTGGAGTGAGCTGTCTTTGTGCTTTCATGTTGTAAGCCCAGGCTCTGTCCACACCATGTCCCTCAGTTCTGCAGGGTGTCCAATCAGGGATGGGGAAACGGCCAGCGACCACCAAGGCATCGTCAGGAAGCTCGGCCTCCATTTTCTTCTGCAGTAGTGAAAGCTAAGTGGAAATACATAGCAATGATAAAACACATTAAATACAATTCCAACAAATACAATCTAACGTCCATTTACAAATTTGCTGTTACAGATATAGGAGCCATTTTTGCGATTTAGATTTGAATTGACGAGTAATTGCTGCGTTTTTTTTTTTCTACTTACCACACTAGGAGCTAAAAACACAGTAATATTCTTGCATTCTGTCAAGTCCACCTGCAAGGACAAAAAAAATAGATTGTAAATATGAAGCAGACTAGCATCTCTCAAAAATCGAGTTGACATTTTTTGTTTGCAGTAGTACTCAAACCATTCCAATCATAAAGCCCAAATCATCACAAAAATTGTCAAACCTTCCATAAATCTTCTCTTCGGTAGGACACGTTGCCATGTTGACCTGCTCTCCACGCATGGAAGCGGGCCAAGCGAACCAGCCAGGGGTTGAGCTCATAGCCAACAGCAGATGTGAAGCCTTGTCGGTGCGCCTCCAAGACCTTCAATGAATGATTTCAAAGACAATAATTCAACCTATTTCTCATTAGCAGGAGCAAATGCACTGCTATGAAGTGGTTAAGTTAAAAAACAAAAACATTTGCTTCCCTCTCTCTCACTCACACGCACGATAATACCTATCACAATCATCATAAAACCTCTCCCACTAATGACACAACCTGAAATATCCCCCCCCCCAAAAAAAACAACCTCTTATAGTCATTGAAAAAACAGTTGAACCGTCCACTTTGTTTCAGCTACGGTTGATTACTTAAGTCCTCTGTAAATCAAGCAGATTTGCTAGTATGATGCACTTACAATGCGACCGTCACCAGATCCTAAATCCACAAGAACCCCCTTTCGACCTCTTAGCAATGCCATGACATTGCGCACTTGGGCGCGACTGGCAGGTATGTACGGTACCTGGGGGACATATTCAAGAATAGCTTAGATAACAGTTATGTCTCTCTCAAGCCTATGTACATACGACAATGAACGATGTACACGAGACCATACCTGTAACCTCAATGGGACTTTGCGGAAGCCTGGCTGGAGGAGTCCGACCCACATGGCGTAAACGGCGAGACCAGTTCCAACAGCAATCTGGGCAACATCCCAACGTTGGAGTTCCCTTGTCTTGAGCTCAGAAAATGCATCGTCTGGGGCATCATCATCCATTTCTGCAAAACAGCAGTACGGCTGTGATGAATATATATATATATATATATATATATATATATATATATATATTTACAGGTGAGAGCTTTAATGCACACAGGAGTGAAGTTTTAATTGAATAATTTTTGTTTTCAACATGTGTGCTAATGTGATGCTTTTAGATTCTGTTTCAGCCCCATACTCAGTCTGTTCCATAGTCTCTCGCCATGATTTGATATGCACAGTATTTTTATTATGCATCTGCAATTTGGGGCTCCTAAGATTTGTCACGTCTTAATTGATCATCCTCGCCCACCCCTTGTATTTTGATTATACCATATTCATAGCCTAAAACCTTTTTCGTATCCATATTTATTGTAATTATGACGCTACTATTACACCGGCTTGGTGAGACTACGAGTTACTTGGGTGTCGGAATAAACCCATAACTCTGGATATACAAGTAGGAGTAAAAACAGAGCTTATATACAAAAATGTTAACGCCCGTTAAAATAGAAACTATGATCATAAGTTACCTCAATATATGTGACAAAAAGGCTGGCAGTCTACGGCTTATGTTTTTTCCCCTCGTAGGTTGACATAACAAATGGCAAAATATTAAAAAAGTAATCCTAAATTTACACTTAGAGAACGCATTACAGTTCCTCTCCATTGACCTTCCCTTGGTACGGACACATTAAGAAGACGGACAAGCTCGCGTGTAAATGATTCCGTCTATGCGACATTTTTTGTTCCGGTACGTTTACGTAACTACATGTATAATACATGTTTGCGTTTCTCTTGGAAACGTCAATCAATTTATAACAAACGCATTGCAAGGCCTCGGAAAGGATACGTACACAAGTCCATCTCTAAGCACATGGAAACAAACAAAAAAAACTAGCGTTACAAATATTTGATTGACGAACAGTTTGATACACTTAACTAAATAACAAATTTGTTCAAATTAACAAATGGTCAATGTTGAGCTGTGAAGACACTTGAGTGTTAATGATTTTTCACAATAATTATTAATAAACATCAACAAATACGCAGCACTTTATTTTCATAAAAATCTGCAAGTAGTGACATCAACAAATGAGCAGCACATAAAAATCTGCAAGTACTGTAGTGACATTTTCAAATGATCACCTCTACAACATTCTTGGGAAAATACAATATCTCACCCTTGTGAACTATATCTTGGTTATTCATGTGGTCCTTCCCTGCCGTAATGTATGAAACGACTCAAACTTGGACAAAAACTCAATTTGAAATGACGTCAAAGGATTGTCTCTTTCAGAACATTTGCATGAAGAGCCCCTACGCCTTAGTCGCTGTCGGCGTCATCACTGATGATTCCCTTCAGGTTGGCCCAGTTTGACATCCTTCGCTGTACTTGCTGCACATTGTTTTCCTCCTCGCCATCAGAAACAGAGCTCGGCGGTCGTGGCAATGCGTGGCGGCGCGCGGATTCACGTTGTTGTGCAAAGGCTCCTCTTCGTTTAGGTCGACCTGAGTAAAGGAATCAGCCATGACCGATAGTTTTGAGGTGTGTGCAACATACAATAAATGTAAACTTCATTACATGTTCCTATTAGGCAAATCCAAGCATTCACTGCTTTTCTTTAAAATGTTTTTGGTAAATTTAGCTGTGAGTACATTAATGGCACGGGGATAACATGCAAATGCCACACGGGAAGGCCGAAGACGGAATCACACCCGTGACCTCTGCACTGTGAGGCAGATGTGCCAACCAGTCGATCACCCTGCCGCCCGCCGACTCAGAAATAATATCTGTAATCACCTTGACTATCAATGATGTTGCTGAGATCCAGTTCAGCAAGTTCCCGAGCTTCTTCTTTCTTCAGACGTACCTTTTTACATTTTTTGATGGACGGCTGACCTGTGTCAAGACAGTACATAGTAATTGTCAAACAAAGTTAGGTTCTTGAGACACCTCTTGTTTTATCAGTGACTTGATTTTGCAAATAAAGCTTATTGCAAAATAAGCCATGTTTAACTGTTACGGTTTGTATCCCCCACTGACCGTGAACACCGAGATCTTCCAGCTCCTTCTTTAGAACAGCCGACATGGAGCGAACAGAGCGACATTCACCAAGGAGCTTCTTGTAATTGCGTTTCTCGCCACAGAGAGAAATGTAGCGTTTGAGTCTCACGACTGCTTTGTCGTCTTCCTGTATGGAGAATTGGAGGTATGCGATGGACATAGCGCACAAGTCAAGCTCTTGTCAATTGATGTATTTTTTTGTTTGTCATTTTAACATTTTTGTGAAAATAAAAGGACTGGAGCTGCACTGTTATCTACATTTTTTTAGTCACAAGATTTCATCTAACTACTCAAAGGTTACCTTCTGTTTTTTTGCAGGACTGTCTTTTTCTTTTTTGCTCGATTTCTTTTTTCCACCATTTTGATCTTTTTCCTTCTTTTGCTTGACTTTGTTTTCTTTGGTTTTGAGTTCCTGCTCATCTTCCAAAGAGGGCAGAGATGACGAATCCGAATCTGCTTGGTTTGTTGTCTTTTCTGCCACATTTTCTTCTCCTTTACACAACAGAGATTCATACAAAGTAAGTAGCATTAAGAACAGCGAATGTTAGTAAAATATAAAGTGTACAATTTCACCTTTTTCACTTTCATCAGACGACTGAGAGCTGTCATTCTTCTTTGAGTTACTTTCATCATCATCATCGTCATCATCATCATCACCACTCTGACGTGTTTTCTTTTTTGCCATGTTTGTTTCCATCTCTGTTTCTCCATCTTCTGAGTCTTCTTCACACTTTCCATTTTTCTTTTCCGGTGATTTTCTAATTTCCTGCTTTTCACCCCCTGATCCAGTTTTACTTTGCTCTTCCTCTTCATCCCGCACACTTTCTGTTGTGTTACTCTCTTCATCCTCAGATTCTGCAGCAGAGTGCAAGAAGAAATTTTTATTATTTTGTCAAAAAAACAAACACAAAATCCCCCACTCCAACAAAACAACAACAAAAAGACCACTCAGCAAATAATAAAATTTGTAATGCAAGCTAGCATTACATGAGTAAAGTAGATTAGGGGTTCTTTGTGGGTAGTGGGACTCCTTTAGGGTGCTTGACATGATAGGACGGCATTAGGGTTCCAATTAACAATTATTTTCGGACTCCAAATTGGACTTAAAATCATCATGTTGTCAACAACAAACTCACCAGATTCGGAGCTCACGCGACGGCTGGACTTTATTCGCTTGGAGGCAACTTCATTTTCACTCTCGCTGGCAATGTCATTTTCCCTTTCTCGCTTTCTTTTGTTTTGGACGTCCTCAGCCTCCGACTCATCACCACTTTTGTTCTCCTTGGGCAAAATAAAAGATTTGGTTGTCACCTTTGTCTCATTTGTTTGTCCTATCTTTAACGTAAGACACATACAACATGCAAACGAGATGAATGAAAAAAATATTTGTGTACCTGCATTTCTATCAGCTCCTGTTCAACCACCTGTTTCAGTAGACTTTTGGCAGAAGCACTCAGCGCGTCACTTCCCACCGTAGCCAAATAGCGCCGTTTTAAAATTCCCAAAGTCAGCGAGCTGAGTAACACACGAATACATGAATTTCACAGAATAGGGATTGAGAGACATCTATTAAATTAGTCCATCCTGTAGTATTGGCAGACACGTTGAGTAACCAGCGGGTGTCGCCCATCTACAACCGCCACCTCATTTGGCTGCCGTTTTTCCTTGACTTCCAAACTTGCCACTAGAATAAGACGTACATGTCGTCATAATTATCACGTTTACGTTTGTAATGTGTTTTTTTCCCCCCCATCGGCTTTCGTTTACAGTTGAACCATTCTGAAAGAACGTGGAGACATCCCGCCCGATCAATAAACTTTATGCTTACACGAGCGACAATGTTTTTATCAGCGTTACCAACTTCAGACTATTGGTTCGCAATACCTTGAAATACCAACAAGTTTACCTTAAATCTTGTTCTGCACGAAGCTGTCCGCGGACAAACTGGCGGATACTTTTCAATTCACTCTCACGCACCATCGTCAGGCGTTATACTCACAATTTACGTGCTGTGTGGCGGGAGAAATAAACCGGAAGTGACGTCAAATGACATCCCGGATAAATACTGACAGCGAAGTACTGTACTGGGTTCCCTCGCGACTTCACGGTTCGTTTTCTGCGTATTGACTCTATCGCCGGACGTTCGGGAAAATTAACATATATTCCCGCCCCTGCTGCACAGTTTGCTTCACGTTCACGAAGTGAACCAGTACTGAGCCTGAAATTTACTTTGGTAATGATAATTTGGTACTGTCTATATTGTGGATGCAAGAATTATACACGGCTATGGTCAAATTCCAGTTTTTTTTAATATAAGAGATATTGTCATTTCAAACACACCTTAACAAAAAAAAAGTCAAAATTTATGTCAATTTGGTCACATCATGTGCGGTGGTTAAAACAGTTACAAGCCTATTTTGACAAAGGAGAAAGTACAGCGGTCTTCAAATGCAGGGAGTACAATTAAATAGTACTCAGACACAAGAAAAAAAAAATACAGGAAATAGTCAGATGTTTTACCTGTAAATTGCGAACAAGTTTAATAAATAAAGAAGAGGAAGAAGAAAAAGAATATACCCAAAAGTAGATTGGATTTCTTAATTTTACAATTAAATAGTACTCAGACACAAGAAAAAAAAATACAGGAAATAGTCAGATCTTTTACCTGTAAATTGCGAACAAGTTCAATAAATAAAGAAGAGGAAGAAGAAAGAGAATATACCCAAAAGTATATTGGATTTCTTAATTTATTCAGAACATTTCTCACCACAGTAGGACGGAAGTTGCAAGGTGAAGTAGTGCATTATGTTATTGGAAAATTTTTAAAAAGGAGACAGACACAAAGAATTAGGTGCACACAAAACATCTGAGAATACTCTCAATTCATTGAAATGGGGGAAGGGATGGGGTATAAAAAAACATTAAAAAGTTGCACGCATTAACATCAACTGCTAGACCAACAACTTGGAACAAGTTTCAGTGGTTTGCTATAAGACATGAAGAAAAGTGAAAAATCATGGCTCAGAATAAGATACGACACAATGTGTCCCCCAAACGCCCCACCGCGGGGGGGGCTGCCAGTGCATATCATCAACACCCCCGTCAATAGAAGGCGAAGAATATTGAAATCATATTGATGCCAGTGTCGTGACCCAGGCTATTTCGCCTATTTCAAAACTGGACGCTATTATTTATCTTGTAAACATTTTCACCTTTCTCCAGTTACACCTCAACTTGGGCGGTGACGTCTAATGTGACGACTGACAATGAAGACGTCATGGAACAGGTTCCTGCGGCGAGCCTCTTTTGTCTTCACATTGTTAATCCTTGTACACAGTTTGCTGGCCGTGCCCTCGCTCATCGTGCATGATGTGTCTCCTGACGTGGATCCTCCTTACTCGTCTGTCCCCGCCCACTGCGCCCTCTTCCTCCGATTGGCCAGTGCCCACCGATGAACCGGGGCCTCGAGAGTCGAAGAGGTGTAAGCCCCCGGGACCGGATCTTCGGCCATTCTCATAAATGAGGATATTAAGAGTTTCTTCAAAAATCCGAGCTTCGGGAAACTCAACCTGAAATCACAAACGGGAGGGTGGAAGTGAGAGAATGCGAGAGCAGAGGCAACCACTCAAGTGGGTAATCTGGTTTAGGAATGAGGTAGTTGCGCTTCATGAATGTTTTTATCAGCTCCACTGGAATAAAATAGTGACATGTACGACTCCAAATGTCATCACATCATTCCACACATTTGTAGCATCTCAAGACGATTTATTCCTAGATAGGGTTCGATTTTTTTTTCTCAAACCATATAATTAGGGAGACCACTTTTTTGAAGCCGAGGACAAACTCCTGATGACTGGTTTGTTGATGTTTCCAATGAGTGACTTTTTGATGCTTACTTTGGTCTGCTTCTTCTCCGTGGCATAGACGATGGACGTGCAGCATACTTCGGCTATCTTACGACCTTCGCCGTAAAACGACCAACAGCAAATCTCATCCCCGAGAACATCTTTGACAAACAGGACGCGGCCATTGAAGCGGAGTACAAGTTTGTCAAAAAGTTCGATGTTCTTCAACAAGTTGTCATCTGAATTGCTGGTCAAACAAAAAAAAAAAAAAAGATAGTTACAACGAGCTGTTATGAACTCTGCCAAGGAGATGTTTCATTTTGATGCGGGATTGGGCAAAAATGTACTCCCACTTTACCTGGTATACGAGTACTTGTTATTTCCTCTGTTGTTTTGCAATTTTACCACAGGCTGGAGGAAAAGAAAACAATAAATTAAAATAAACAAACAAAGTTTGCACAGGAAGGCCGGAGCGGGAATCGAACCTCGCACCTCTGCACTGTGAGGCGGACATGCGAACCAGTCGCCCACCATGCCGCCTCCCTGCTAATTTCTAACACAATACTGAATGGCTCAGCAAGCCAACGTACCTTTCTGCATGTCGCAATCATCCTCTGCTCCTCTTTGGCTGATGTGATCATTGGGATGCGACACACACTTTCAAATATGTCCTTTTGCTTCTAAAGGGAGACAAAGACTCATTACAGTCGGAACAAATAATAATAATGTGTTGAAAACGATCTGAAATTGAATCTCATATCTGGCTGGCTACTGGTATTAAAAGTAATCCAAGGCTGTTGATTGAAATTTAAATCATTAATTTGTAAAATGACAAGTGCGTCAAAAGCAGGTCGACAAGTAATTGTCATGACACCCGATGATGCCATAGATAAAATGATCCTACTCCAATTTTCTTTAGCAAATACAATTTATAAACCGGAAACAATCAAAATGGCATTCGTTCATATTGCCTTGTTCCATGCTCCTCCAATTTCAAGTAAAAAGAAACAACATGGAAGCACCTTACCTGCATGGCAGTGAGGCAGTGTTGGATAAGCCCCTGGACCCTGTAGTACTGGGCCTCCTTCAGGACCTCATCAAGTTCTCTGTGGTCATCAGGGAGCGGTACCGAACCATCCCGCAGGAAGTTCAAAATGAGCCCAAAATGTCGACCGCTTCGATCTAAAATCACCCAGCCTGATGCGGAAAGAGAAGTAAGTAAGTCACAGGGACTTGGGCTTTGGGATTGGGCAGTTACGGTTTGACTCCTGCTGCAGGCAAAAAGAAATTGGCAACCTGATGAACTGCGGGTATGTTGCAGAAATGTTCTAAACAGTATGACGGCGAAGGTTAACATCGGAGCTAAACATTTTGCTGCTCCACTCACCGTCTGAGTCAATGTTGACCTCGGTACCTCCGTTGCAAATGCTGTGCAGCAGGCTTTCCTCCTTGGTCAATGTCTGGACAGTTGTATAATGAAGTGAGCCACCCACATTCAACTTGACATATTTGCTTCCCAACAGACCCTGATGTCTGTCTTCAACAGTGCTCTGGAAAACAGGCTGGGAAACAGCAGACTGGGCAGTGTTTGCAGCATGACTGCCGACTGACGCCTCAGCAGACATGGGACTGATTGGTTTCTTTCCGACTGGAATTACAACAGGCAGACAGTTTTAATGCAATGGAACAAGGGATTCAACTCACTTGGTTTTGAGAAAATAAAATTAATGAAAATAGCGTGGAACAGTCAAGTTAGTTTTTTTTTTGAAGAACGTTGGGATTTATATGGAGATCGATATGTGGATTGGAGTTAAGGTGAATGTTTCTTTGATGCTGATAAAAATGTTGAGCAACAGCTTTAGGTCTATTTTGAGTAAACAATAAATATTAGCCAAGGTTAAGAAATTAGATCATGTATCACACAGAAGTTACTCTGCTAGAGATGCTACTTCAACATGAAAACCTGACACAGCAGTTGGTCTGGTCGGGATCATCACTTAGCAAGTATATTGTTGATAATAGATTGTACTTACGACACTGAACATCAAAAGGATCCGACGAATAGAAGTATCCTTTGAACACTTTCACTGCCTAATTACCAATCGGCCCGCGAAACAAAACATATGCTCGTACTGGACTAGGCAAACCTTTCTAGTTGATCGAGAGCGCAGCTAACGTTCGACAATTCATCTTTATGTTGGTTAGCATAGCTAATCAAAATAGCAACATTGAGTAATCCATTTTGCTTGTTATTACACTCATTTTGCTCCCAACGTACGACTGCGCAAACGAGTCATTATAAAAATAAGTATTTACAAACAGCGTAACCAAATTACTTGTTTGCCATTCGGATTTTTCAGTTAATCTTGGCAGCTAACTGGGTCACTCGGTGACGAAAGCTCGACAGTTTCCGGGTCTCCTTCTTCTACTACTTCTATGACGCGGCTTAAACGAAACTTTGACACGTTGCTGCCCTCTGTCGAATTAAAAACTCACAACACACCGACCCTTCTACGTGATTCCTAATCTTTTAATCAAGCATGTTACGTCATGGGAAAAAATAGAATTTCCCCGTTGATTCTTTAGTTCAGAAAACTCTCACAGTCAAATCACACTAACAGGATTTAATCATTATTTGTAAAGATGACATCACAACAGATTTTACACCATTCAACACAGACTTTATTTCCAGTTCAGCAATGAAATTACTGCCTATAAAAGAATGTACTCATATATGAAGCAAAGAAATGCTACTGATTATACTTACATCTACCACGCAACAGCCTCCAGCAGCTCCCATTTGGCACAGTGAACGAGCCAAACGATCCATTTTAAATAAATACATAATGCCTTACAGCAAACAGCCAGGGTTGAAATTTTTCATCACATAGTGCATACAACATCGAATCTGATATGTCAATAACTATAATGACAATGGCAAGATTGAGCAGAAGCAATATCATTTACAATCAGTGCATGCTATAAGCATAATGACATTCACGTCCTCACCTTCCCATGTACAATATGTTATGAGACATTGGCTGTTTTTCAGAAACAGCAAAGCATCAAAAGTAAACACTGCCTTTGTAAACGCTACTTCAACAACAGATGAAACACTTAAGGACATTATTTAACATGACATTTTGGCACAGAATTTTCATTATCTATTTAATGAAAATATACAACCTCCCGTCACCATTTAGAAGTGTAAATATGAGGTTTACTGTATATGTATATATATATTGAATTTAGTACTGTACTCTATATACTGTATACATATCAACCTCAGCCAATATCAAGTCATCTATTTACATTCGTTGTGTTTGTGTGTATATTTTACACAGAGACAAAGTGAGTAAGAGAGAAAACGGTGAATGAACACATGTTTCCGTTTGTGACGCGCGCCACAAAAACAAGCACAAAACATTCAAGTGCGTTCTGTTTGGTCATGAGTGTAAAATTTGCTCATCATTGATATTGCCAGTTTCTCAAGATTTTGGCCTCACTAGACATGAAGGAAAAACAAAGAAACAATTCGTCTGTCCCCATGCCCTTTATTTTGCTGGAGTGAATTTGTTAACCCTTGTAAGGCACAAGTCCCAATGCAACACTGACTGACGTCAAATCCGCCGACGGCAGATCGAACAAATCAAAATAGGGCTTCCTTAATTATCAACAATAAATACGTGGTGGTGGTAAAATTGAAGGATGCTAAATAAAACGAAAGGGGATTTCATGGTTTCATAGTAATAAACTTGATGTCCTCCCAAAACAATTGAATTGTTTTAAAATCTTACCAAGACAATTTGGCTTTTAAATGGAAACTTCATACTCCCGTGTATCCTGTGAACAAAAAAGAGCAGGCAATCAGAAACAATCTCAGATTGTGACACATATTAAAACCATAATTAGCATAATTGTCGAAATAAAGCAGCGCAAAGGAAGGTTTCCTCACCCCCGCCTCATACAGCGGGTTGTTGAAATCCGACTCGACTGTAATGGGACTGTAAGAGTGTGTGTGGGAAAGAGACTTCCAGAAGAGCGGCTTCCATTCTAGTCTGCAGATGCTAGGAGGAAGAAAACAGAATTCCACGTCATCCCATAAATTCATGACAGGCGTATCCGAGCGTGGATGTATTAGTTCAAACAAGCAGCGGCAATTACTTTGTATAGTACATGTAAATTCCTCCAATCAGGAGGATGACCAGGATGATGGGCAGAATTATTGCAAGTGCGATGTTCTCACTCAGGATCTGATGGGAGGGCTCGAATGATTGAGACACTACGACACGAAGAAAAGCATTAGTTACATGGAAATGGATCGCCTCTGTTAGAACTAAAATCAAGTCATCCGGTATTCCCGAAATAGTCATTGAATACGACGGCCTAAAAGACGGACTGCCACAGAAGAGAGAGGAGAAGAAATATAACCACCCTCTAATTTGTGATTATCCAGAAGCTCCTCGTAGGCCACTGTGTGAAATAAAAGACATCCTGTCAAAATTTGTCTTCATCCCCTCATCACAGTTGTTATTTGCAAAAAATATCACCTTCCACAAAAGTCATGGCTATAGTCGGATTTATCTTTTTTTTTTTTCCTTTACCTTTGCAAAAGGGTGGTGGGCTGTTCCACTGAGATGGATGTCCAGGCACACAGCTGATAATAACCTCACCGATGAGCTCGTAGCCTTCATAGCAGAAGAAACGCAGAGTTTCTCCCGCCTGATAGCTGTGCTTGTACAACGTTTGGTATCCATTGTCCGGGACGCCAGGGTTAGGGCATGGATCATATTTCACTGGAAAGAACACAAAGAGGATAGTCACATAGTCAAACTTGATTTGGCCGTGCGCAGGCAGTGGAGCTGGACGATAACACTTACAGACACACTTTGGGCTGTGGTCACTCCATTTGGGGGTTCCGGTGTCTCGACCGTGACAGGAGATTTGGTTGGGGCCCTCGAGCTGGTAACCTTGGTTACAGGAGAAGCGCACAATGGTTCCGACCGCAAAACCGGCTTCGGGGCGCACAGAGCGAGCTCCGTTTACGACCTCTCCCGGGTCAGGACACTGTTGGACTGAAATCAAAACAGAGTGAGTTGAGTCGTTTCATCGACAACAACAACTCTTTTGCCCTCACGTGGCATCTTATGTTGAGGAGCTATGTCGAAGTGAGTTGAGGAGTTTCATTTGGACCAAAATATTGCTTCTGGCATCGAATGGCAATTCTGAACATTTTTAGTGGGGAGTGTCAGTCGCTTTGGGATTTTTTTTTTGCAATATTCACTCCTTTGAAAGCACAACCGCCGCTTCAAGTGCAGTGGACTCTCACCTTTGACGCAGGTGGGTGGGCTGCTGCTCCAGGAAAGGTCCCACTGACAGGTGATGATGTCAGAGCCACTGATGTCGTATCCCGGTTGGCACTGATAGGTCAACACGCTTCCTCTCACCGGGGACAAATGGGACGAGCTGCTCCACCCAAATTCGATTTGAGGGAGAGTGGGGCACGTATCATTTGGCTCAACCTCTGCATGACACACGCAAGCAGACATTTTGCACCGTGTTACGTATGGTCCAAAGTACACCCATCAACTTTCTGCGAAAGTATGCACGCCTTACCACGATAATGAATCAGGAATCCCTGACTAAGAATGAAGCTTGAATCCTCCGGATCGCTTTGAAACTGAATAGTGACCTCTGACCCCCCGGATACAACTTGGAAGCGCTCTTTGGAACCCAGGTACTGACCGATGGCATGGGACATGAGATCGCGGCCGTCAAAAATGGTCAACACGTCAGTGTGGCGAATATTTAAGCTTTTTGAGGGATTAAAAAAAAAAAAACAGAAGAAGAGGAAACATTTTATTGATTTTTAGGAAACTTTTATATATTGTTCAAGACCAGCACTTCTTGAATAGATACCATTTACTTTCAATCTAACAAAATAAAGATGCATTCATATTTATTAGTGATTTGACCTCATGTAGCAATTATGCCTTCAACAGACCAAAACAGATACACAATATATTCACTAAAACATAGCAGACTTCACGTAAAGACTATTGAATGTCTACTTTGTGCCACCCATTTAAATACATTTAAAAAAAAATCCAACTCACATATGGATGTCCAGTTCAATACGCTTCTCTTCATTGCCGTGGATCTGCCATAAACAATCCAGACCCTTGGAGTAACTCTGAGGCCAATCGGGAGACAGGATGGTACCGGAGGGATCCGTCAGCTCCCCTCCACACAGAGCTAGTCGAGCAAAAAAGAAGTAACAAACAGTCGTGAGAGACATGGTCCAGATAACAAAAGGCAGAAATTGTACAAAGATGAAAAAAAAAAAAGATTTGCATGACCAACGTAGGAGCCCAGCAATGGCAGAAGCCTGGAATCGCTTTTACAATCAAGACTCTTGAATTGATCGTAAATGTGAATCGTTGTTTGTTTAGATGTGCCTACGTTTAGCCGGGAGTCGAGGGTGGGATCGACTCAGCCGTGTCCTACTGCTCGGCTCAACCCTTATGAAGATAAGTGGCCGAGACAAAAAAAAAAAAAAAAAACAGTCTTATTAGCATACCTTTGCACACAGGCTCACTGTCATTCCAGTGAGGGTTGCTGGGGTCCACACACTCAATGGTGGCTGAGCCCTGTTCCATGACAAAGCCGGGCGAGCAGCTGAAGGTCACCGTGGTGCCCAGCTGGTAGGTAATGTCACTGCTGCTGAAGTTTCCATGTGGCATGTAGGGCTCCCAGCAGTGCTCATCGTCAAACGCTAGCAAAAAAAAATAAATAGTGTCAATACAATTTTTAAAAAAGGGGAGAAAGATCAAAGAGCAAGATAGAGATAGAAAGAGAGATGGACGTGACTTCATCAAGTCACTTGGCGAGTTTCCCTCAAAGTACACGAGGGACAAAACAGAACCCGTGTTGTCTTTGGATATGTCGTGAGTCAAAAATGGATTTTGCCCCAGCGACTGAAGATGAGATGATAAAACATTTTTTTTTGGGGGGCTTCCAAATAGGGACATTTCCAACATGATGACATGCATCCAGAGAACTTTGCCGCTCACCCTCATATCGCAGTGCCAGGAGGAGAGGGATCGAAGACGAATCAGCTGTGAGCTCCAAGTACAGAGAGGTGCCCTCACTCAGCAGTCCGTGCTCTGGCACATCATCCATATCTGAGTCGAAGAGAGGCGGTGACAGCGAACTGTTCCCACTGCGCACAATCAACCTAAGAGGATAAAATGCATGGCAATATGACATCGTGCATATTTTTAGATGGCGGGCATCCTCATAAATCACGATGTCAGCAGATGAATTTCAACGAAGAAATCACGTTGTCACAAAACTGTTCCGCATAACAACTTACTTATCATCATCTTCATCCAGTGCGATCCTCTCAAAATGCAAGTGGAGCCTGTGACCTTCTTTGGCCTCAAGTAACCAGTGGCAGCTCAGGTTGTTTCCATTACTGTGGTTGGCAACCGACGGAGGGGGCGGCGACAGTATGCGCCCCACTGTTGCATTACGAATCCACCCCCCGCAAGACACAGCTGAGGAAACATCACATGCCACATATTGCTTTAAGCGATGCACCGTGTTCACCCGTCAGTGTTCTTTCACATTCGTGGATTCTAAACGAGGTTGACTGACCAACACACTGGGGTTCGGGTGTGCTCCAGTGCGGTCGGGTTGTGTTGACGCAAGTCGCCACCTCATGGCCACGGACTTGGAAACCTGGATCGCAATGGAAGTGAGCCTGACCGCCGGGATGGATGTCGGTCACGGTCACCCCGCCGCTTTCGGGAGAATGAGGAAAGGTGCAGGACAACATGAAAGCTGAAAGACAAGAGAGTACGAATGTAGACCCATCCATCCACCCATTTTCTGATCCGCTTACGCTCACAAGGGTCGCGGCAGGGTCCCGGCTGTCTTCGGGCAGTAGACGGGGGACACCCTGAACCGGTTGCCAGCCAGTCGTAGGGCTCACATAGACAAACAACCATTCGCGTTCACAATCACACCCACAATTTAGAGTGTTCCATTTACCTGCCATGCATGTTTTTGGAATATGGGAGCAAACCAGAGTACCCGAAGAAAACCCACACAGGCGCAGGGAGAACATCCAAACTCCACATGGGAAGGCCGGAGCCGGAATCAAACCCTTGCACCCGTGCGGCTGTGAGGCGGACGTGCTAACCAGTCGACCATCGTGCCGCCTTGCTTAGTTTCACTCCATGTGTGTGTGAGTGCGTGCCTGTGTGTACCCGCATTCCTACAGCTTTTGAAAATGGATGGAAAGTATTGAATAAGGTAAAGAGTTCTTCTGTTAAAGCTTCAACTGACCTTGATAGTGCAGGATGAACTTGCCATGGTTGTTCAACTGGCCACTGCGGTAGAGGATGTGCACCTGATTGGTGGTACTGCGAATCACCTGCCCCTCCCTCATCAGGGTCTCGTTGGCTAATAGCTTAGGCGTCGAATCGCCCTGGCCCAGAATGGTCAGGGACTCCTCCTTGGATAGATTCACCTTCCTCACCTAGCAGTGAAAGCCATGTAAAAATGCTCATGTTGGCAAAGGATCTCATCGCGCGCATGGTGTTTGGGATGAACACAAATACAAAACTCTCACTGGAATTCACAACACAGGACAACATGAAAGACGTGTGATGCGTCAACAAGTAGTTGAAAGAAGGCGACTGGGTTATGCAAGCCATTGCGGTAATATGCTTTACCTGAATCTCTACACCGTAGCCTGCGTACACTGTAATGCTGTAGGTGCATTCCAGCGGGGAAAGAGATGATGATGATGATGATGATGATGCGGAATCTGGTGACTCGACAACATCCTCCATTGCGGACAAAGATGCGTTGCACTGAACTGTACAAATAGGAAAAAAAAAGAATGGTAATTCAACGCAAGTAGAGAATTTGGTACCATGCCTATTGGTGAATTGTTATTAGCATTACATCATTATTTTTTTATTTCTTTATTTTTTACTATTCATCCAATCATCCATTTTTGAAATAACGCATCATCATTAGGGCCACGGGCAGCGGCGTGTGAAGAGGCTTGCTCATCATCCCTCATTTGGATGCACCGGCTGCCGCTTTTGCTGAAAGAAGGCCGCCATGAGGCTAATATCTCGCACACCTCTCGTGGACGTGCCTGGGGGGGGGGGGTGGTAGTCTCCCTAAAGTAGGTTTCTTGTCATTGTGTCAAATATTTTTTCTGTCAGACAAAAATTGTTTTGTGTCTTTTGGATCAAGTTGACTGCAAAAGGGAACGCTGTAAATGTTCCCAAATGCGTTACAGTTTGGTCAATTTATCCAGGGAGGGGGAATATATAAGGACCAGGTAGATTAAAAGAGAGCCGTTATCCTGGCAGTAAAGATGAAAAACAAAAGCTTTCCGTTGAATGTTCTCAGCCTCACTGTTTAAAGTTCTTTTGGGGATAAAACCCCCAAAATATTTCATTCTCTCTTGACCAATAAGAGTGGACTTGAACGATTTCCTAAGGCACTCTGGTGTCTTGCAAGCTACGCAAAAACCGCAGAAAGCTTTTTGGTCTCTCGACATACTTTGAGAAGTAAGCGGCTTTTTTTTTTTTTTCTCCCAAAGGACACATTACAGATGTTGAGTGCACACTGCTGACATGCCGGCGGTCAAAACTTGAAAATATTAAAGAGATAAAGCAAACAAACCCCTTTGTATCATTTAATTCCCTAACCGAATAAGAATATGAGAATCGATCGTGATCACGGCGGCATTCATGCAAGTACCTGGCATGTGCATTGTGGTTATCGTGGTCGTGGTGATGAGCGTCGTGGTCGTCTCCTCTTCGATGGGAACGAAGGACATGCGGTTCCTCAATCCGGCGTGGCCGCCTGCGGACGACGAGCCCGGCGCCGTGGTGAGCAGTCCTGGCGAAATGACCGTGGAGGTCGACATGCTCCGCTTGACATCGGGCGCCGCCCGCGTCGGATTGGTGGTCGTGCCTGCTGAGTTTGAATTCGAGATATTTTACCCTCACTTGTGGGCGAGAGACTTCGATGACATGACAATGACTATTGAAGTCTATTTTGGTACCTGCGGTGGATGATGACTGACCTAGGTATTCCTTACTCTGTAGGGCAGCATGGATCATACCACCCGGAGGGTAAGAGTCCGGTGGTAATGTTGGTGGTGTATCGGTTTCAGGAATCATGAAGCTCATGCCTAGAAATCAAACAAATGTTTTTTTTTTTTTAAAGTTACAAGACATGGCAGAATTTAAGAACACATGAATATGTATGTGCTCACATATAGGACGGTAAAAGTAGTCAGAATCGCTTGCACACATCTATTACCTGAAACTTGGTACATCACGGTGGCAGAGAGTATCACAGCAAGGTAGGTGAACGCCATGGCTCAAGGTGAAACGATGGTCTGAAAATCTGAAAAGAACAAACTGGTTTTGATGAACAACGTAATATCACCGTGATGGGTAGAGTAGAATGATTGCCACACTAATGATTTGATTGCCCTTGATGTTTTACTTTTTGATTTTTACAGATTGGGATTAAGCATCTGGAAGAAAGGTACAAACATCTACCTTGAAGTCCGATTTTTACGTGGTATATTGTACATTGAGGAACCTTTACTGGATCTGGTTCCAAATAGTGTGCAGTGTGACTGTGCACATCAAAACTGACATTTGTCGCAAAAAGTAGGAACAGCAGGTTTTATGTTTACCTTTCGCAGGCCATGCCGATTTGGATCGGAATGGCATTGCCATCAAAACCCATTTTCATCAACAGAATAATTCATGTTATTCACTACAGTTCAACGAAATACCATTTACAAATGCGGGCCAAAAGAACGGGAGCAAAAACGCAAAATGCATCCGTATTAAGGAAAATACCCATGCTTTGCACCTGCGTTCCCTCCCCCAAACCTGCAAATGCATGTCCAAAAATGCGTTCGCCCGAACGCACATAACGACCCTCCTCTTTCTGCAGCTACACCGCAAACGTTTTTTTTTTTTTTTTTGCTGTCAACATTTTGTGATTGCAACGAATAAAAAAAAAAAAGCATATCGAGGCGTTTCCTCGGTGATGCCAGATTTGTATGTCACGAAATGATGGGTGCTTTGCAAGGCAGCATCCTTCGCACCTCTCGGCCCCTCTTTTTTTTTTTTTTGTGTGTGTCGAGGACCATTTTGGGGCATCACTCGTCCTGATTACAAGGTGAGGAAGGGGGTAAAAAAACATGCCTTACGTACCTTTATCTCGCTTCCTACGATGGTTTTATGATACAGTATCCTGTTGCTGTAGGCCCCGTCAACAAGGTGCTGAGGTTCGCCCCCCCCCCTCTATGGCTGCATACTGAGGGCTTGACGCATTCGGCTCGGATTGTGAGCTTTCTGTGTGGAGACACCAAGCGCCCTCTAGCGGCCGTGTACTGGAACCGCGGGGAGGCGTGCAGTAAAAAAAACAAAAACATCTAGTCTGGGAGCAACGATCTTCCACTCACTGCGCAGAGGCGGTTGCGTGCGTGCTTGTGACACATCTCGCGACGGTCTATCAAGGTAATAAGAGTCACGCGATAACAGACATCCAGAAGTAATGGTTCAAATTTCCTAATGAGCTGATCGTCGAGCTGCACATGCCCGGTTTAACACCACGGTGTGGCCATTGGCTGCTCTGTGAAGCTGGAGCATCCGTCCGTCCATTTCCTATACCGCTTGCCTTTATGAGGGTCGTTGACGGCTGTAGCAAATGTTACATCATAGTCCATGCAGCTCAAAGGCATCATCTCATCACTTTGGCTCCAACTTATTGGCATGGTGCTTATGGGTGCCCTGCTGACTCTTCAAATTGCGGCGATGCAATACTTGGAAGTACAACAGAGTGCGTTTACATAACGCATATTATTTACGCATTGGTTTGCATGTCAACCTTTGTCACTGTCACTAAAACGTATGGGATCCTTTCCTCACACGAAATGATCGAAATGTTGACAGATTTAGAAGACACGGTGGCTTTCTAGATGAGACTAATGATGGGAGAAGCTTCCAAAAGTTTTGACGAGATGAAGAATATGCGCGCTAAATGATCAGCTAGGGTGAGATCTTGCAGATTTTGCGACCTTAATTCGAGACCTTGGGTGGAGTCATAAACCCGCACGAGCAACTAGAACAAGTTCGTCAGTGCTCTGTGGAGAAGCGGTGACCTTGCATGGATAAGAGATGCTCCATGCCAGGCTTGGCTTCAGCACTGCGTGAGCCAGAAGGGGATTAAATAAAGAAAATAAGTGAATGAGGCTGTCTGTAAACAGGACTGGCCAATGGCGTGTTCAGGCTTTTCTTGTTGGTAAACACGGCATCTTACGCTTAACATGATCTTTTTTTTACGAAAGACTCAACACTCATATGTTCATTTAGCAGAATAAATGATGATTCATTTGAAAAAATAAACACGTGTCATCGAGCCGTAATTGCTCGGTCTATTTCCACTCATAATAATGCATCCCTTAATCTGTTAATCTGTTTCGGTATTTCAGCGCCCGATCATAAAGATGTGCTGGTCCTTGGACATGCTGCCCTCGCCTCCTTACATTGAGCTCGGCGTCCACTCGTTGAGTGGCCTTCTGTGGACGCTCGCGCTCTTGTTCCTGTGGCACTGTTATCGGATAGGCTCGGACTTGCCGATGGGGGTTCGCGCACGCGGGGGAAAGTTGGGCTCCGGAAGGTCCACGATGTCTCCTGGCGGAAGCTGTGCGGGAGCAAAGTACGAAACCCGGTCCAAGATTCTCAGGGGTGATCCAAGGAACCCGTTTTCAAGCATCGAAACGGAAGAGGATGAGGAGTTGGCGCAAGGCTACCTCACACCCGTACTTAGCCATGCCTTGTTCCCAGCGCAGGCATCCGCACAGGCCAAGAAACTGTACTCGGCCTTGCAGGAATACGCCAAACGCTACAGCTGGGTGGGAATGGGCCGCATTCACAAAGGCCTCCGGGAGCAGGTACGCGCTTCTCTCCGTTTCTTTTCACGTCACATATTCCCAATTCCAGAGTGATCAGGAATTTCTCATTCTCCTCCCCTTTTAGATCAAATCAAATGACCACTCAGCGATACAGAAGCCGCATCTCTTCTTCCTACCAGATGTCCCGAGTGTTCCTTTTTTCCCACGCGATGCCCATCGGCATGATATTGAAGTCCTGGAAGCCAACTACGCTGTCATCCTGGCTGAGTTCCAAGCTGTTTACCAGAAAGGCCTCGACTCCAAATCGGGCTGGACCGTGGGACCAAAGGTACGATTCTCATGTATTACAGAAAAGGGGTTACCCAAACCTTTTGGTCCCGCTTCACATTGGAGTCAATGATTTGGCCATCGCAGGGACATTAGCGTAGGTTTGACGTGAGACACTTTGTCTCTTTCAGGGCCAGGCAGTGTTTCCACTGTACAGCGCGGGCGTGTACGTGGCAGCCAACTGTCGCTGCTGTCCTTGCACGTATCGGACACTGCTGTCCCTCCGCACATTCATAAGCAGCAACTCCTTGGGATCGGCTGGATTTTGGTTGCTGGGACCCGGCGCTGCGCTGGGTAGCTCATACGGACCGACGAATACGCGGCTGCGGTGTCATCTAGGTCGGTGTATGAAGTCCTCGGCAAAATCTATGAATTGACATGACGGGGTCTTTCAGAGTTTTAAGGAATGAAGTTTTTGAGTGAATGTGACCCTGAGGAACACCACTGCTGGGTTCTGAGGAGTAAATACGCCCGTTCAAATAAACTTGGACCTTTTTACAAAATGCAAACGACATTAATATGGTAAGTTTGGTCAAAGTATGATTGGGCTATATCACAGGTGTCAAAGTCAAGGCCCGGGGGCCAGATCCGGCCACCCACATCATCTTATGTGGCCCGCGGGAGCAAATCAAGATTGTCAACTATCATGATTCTTGCTGAAATCTGTATCGAAATGTCAAATTGTCATGGGTAATAAATAATATTGAGATTTTGCAATGGCCCTCTGAGGGAAGCCGTAACTCCAAAGTGGCCCGCGACAAAAAAAGGAGTTTCACACCCCTGGTCTATATTGTCAAGTCCAGGTCGAAAAGTGGGTCAATAATCAAACACTGCGTCGAGAAGCACTGACATCTTCTGGTTCCTTTTTTCAAATCCACAATTTGTTCCATGCAGTGTGTGGTTGCCAGACGATTACAAAAAGTGAAATAAAATAAGAACGAATGAAATAGCACAACCGGCGCTGAGTGAAACAGATGATTATTTAGGTTCATTTCGACTTAGCCCATTTTCTGTCGCCACCCAGCTGGCTTCTAATCCTTTTCCCTTAAACACAGACAGGGATGAAGTGCGCGGTCTTGTTGCCTTTAAAATAAAGACAGAATGATTTTGGAGCCCATCACGCTTGCAGGTCTGCAAACTCCCCCCCTGTGTGAGCTGGTGGTGGGAGGGGAGCCTCAGTGCTGGTCTGAGGGACACTGCCTGCTGATTGATGACTCATTCCTTCACACCGTCTCACACAAAGGTTGGTGAATCACACGAACCGAATGCACATTTGGACTCCCTAAAAAAAAGTCACCTTGGATTTTCCAACTCCTTATTTTCATTTTATTGTCATCTATTTTCTTGCACCCCCAAAGGGCCCCCGGATGCTGGACCTCGAGTCATCCTCAGTGTGGACGTCTGGCATCCGAATGTGGCCGCGGCGGAGAGACAAGCGTTGGACTTCATGTTCAGTCCTGATCTCTGAGCACTTGGGCGTTTTGATTCCACCCTGAACTTTGAACTCTGCCAGTTTTGCGAGATGCGTGGGGGGCGCCTTTGGGTTTCGAGGGTCTCGTCTATGGATCACTGTGTGCGTTATCCGTTGAAAAACATGTTGGTCGTTTTCTGCCCTTTTGACCCCGATGCATTCATGGTGCATGAAAATATGATCATGCATGGCTGCCATAAACAATGTGCGTCACTTGGAGATACAACAAGACCTCCTTTAGCATCCGAGCAGAGGATTAGAGGATCCCATTAGATAACGTTCTCACAAGGGTGTTTGCATGCGAAACTTGACTGTCATGTTTATCGTTGGTGCATGCGTCACTTTGGACATCAACACCTGACGATCACGCCGCCACACTGCGGCAAAAATAAAATAAAATATGGAATCCGCTTTTTGTTTGTTTACAGTTGAACACTCTACAATATATTTGAATCCCAAATGGACAAAGGAGACTTATGAAGGATGTGACATTTGTGTGTGTGTGTGTGTGTGTGTGTGTGTGTGAGCTGAACATAAGTCATCGAAAGATACATTCAAAGCTAATTTGCATCGATTTTCGGTTTGAAAAAGCACCGCAGGAAGCTGCAAATGCATTCAAATGATCCTCGGACGCTACGTTGCCTGTGACAGTTTTCTCGTTACTCATTTTTATTCAAGCGCAGGAGCTAATTATCCACGCTGACACGTTATCTATCAATTAGAATCACATACCAAGTGATTTCAAGAGTAATCCAAAAACCAAAGGCATGATTTTGGGACCGTTAGAATTTTGGGGGCTTTTATTTAGATACCAGACAAACATAATTACAATTTTAAAAAAAAGTGCATTTTATGAAGTATTCAATCTTCTATCGCATATTTTTGGTTACATTTTACAGAGAGTCTTTGAGAATTAGTGAGGTGATTTTGTTTTATCTGCCATCTGTTCATGTGGGGTGGGGGGCGGGAGGGTCCCAGTATGAGGATTACAACCGCCAGATCTAATCTAGCACAGAGTGACAGATGATTGCTGAGATACTTTATATGTTGTTTGTATGTTTAAGGACGTTTGACTTTGTTCGACATTTCACATTTCTTTAGGCTGCGAGAAGGAGCACTCGAAAGGATAAATGGCTGCAAATGTGAACGCGTCATTGCCGCGCTGGCCACATGTCTCACTGCGACGGCCTTGACTTGCTCATACAAAATAAAAATCTGGACATAACGAGTGACGTCATAACAAAATGGGAACTTGCAATTTTCAAAACAAGAAGTCATATTTGTTCAAATGGACAATATGGCTTGACAGTAGTGCATGACAGATAGAGTGTGATGCATGTTAAAAAAAAAATATCTTCTGTCTCCGGCCTAGTCAGTCTGTGATTGTGTAAATCACGCCTTCAGTCGCTGATTGACTATTTTTCATTGGGCGCGGTGGTTTTGTGTATCTCGATAACAGGCGCAAGATGGGGTCAGCGATGCCTGATTTGTCTCGTACTCCTGTCAAGTTCAATTCTTAAAGACAGTTGTTGCACGGGGGGTTGCAAATTCCACCTTATAAAGTCCGTATAGGATTCTAGTGCATTTACAAGTCTATTCTGTACATTTTTTAAATTAAATCAAATAGAAAAAAAAAACAAAAAAACGATCATGGGGGACAGTAAAGTGGGTTAAAGCATCCACAGGTGTTTGTCTTCACTTCTTCGACATCATTTGGACAAACTCTGCAAAATCATTGGGCAGAATTTTGATCAGATGCTTTTTTTTTAAATTTTTTTTTTTTTTTAATGTATGTTGTTTGCATGGTCTTGTTTCTCACCCTCAAAGTCAACAGTACCATCCCCGTTGTTGTCCACTTCTCTGACCATTGCTTCAACTTCTTTGTTGCTGGCTTGCTCGCCCAGTAATTTCAGCATGGCGTGCTTCAGCTCATCCGACGTGATCGAACCATCGCCGTCGATATCAAACTGGAAGAGACGGGGGAAACCGTCCAAACCGTCAAATGGGGCTCTGCCAAGAAGTGCCGAAGGCGGACCACACGAAACAGGCTCAGCTCACCTCTCGAAAAGCGTCTTTCAGTTCTTTGAGGCCGATCATGCCTGCAGTTTCAGCCAGGAGCTTGGGGCTCATAAGTTCCACAAAGTCCTCGAAGTCCACCCGTCCTCCCACTGCGTTGACACGTACAGTATATAAATGTATCAAGGCAGACACCATCAGCTCTTGGATAAATTACAGTGGCTTATGAGAAGTATTGGGCCACCTTTGAACTTTCTGACCTTTTGACCTATTTCAGGCTTCAAAAAGAAAGGTATAAAATGTGATTTTTTTAAAATGTTTTTTTTTGATTTTTTTGAAGAATCAACACCAAGTGGGACATAATTGTGGAAAAGTGGAACAACATGTGTACGGTATTTAACGAAATGTCTATGTTTTCTGGTACAAATGAAGAAAACTGAAAAATAGGATGTGCAAAAGGTCAAAAAGGTCAAGGTGAGCTTTCGCAAGGCACTTCTGAGAGGCACTTCTGTTTATATCCATCCATCCATTTTCCGATCCGCTTTATCCTCACAAGGGTCGCGGGGGGTGCTGGAGCCTATCCCAGCCGTCTTCGGGCAGGGGCACCCTGAACCGGTTGCCAGCCAATCTCAGGGCACACAGAGACGAACAACCACCCGTGCTCTCACAGCTAGGGACAATTTTGAGTGTTCAATCAGCCTGCCATGCATGTTTTTGGAATGTGGGAGGAAACCGGAGTACCCGGAGAAAACCCACACAGGCACGGGGAGAACATGCAAACTCCACACAGGGAGGCCGGAGCCGGCATGGAACCCACGACCTCAGCACTGTGAGGTCGACGCGCTTTCTGTGTTGCCCCGTTTATTATTTAAATTGTATTTGAAGCTTTGCTGTCATTTCCAGCATCACATGGAGTCTTACGGTTCATGTTGATGTTTTGGCTCAGTTCGATCAGCTCCATTTCAGTTGGCATGTAGCCCATCGTCCTCATCAGGTTGCCCAAGTCTTTGCAGGAAATGAAGCCATCTTTGTCTTTGTCAAACTCCACAAAAGCCACACGTAACTCTTGCGAGCATGTCGAGAGAGAGAGAGAGAGGTACAAAGTTGCCCGGTGATACAAAATCTCCACGAGTGTGAGGGAGAGGGGGGCAGGGGAGGGGGGGGGGGGATTAAAAGCATGAATTACCTTCAACCTCATCGTGAGTGAGATCTCTCTGCAAAACAAGAAGGATGGACACAAACAGAGGCATCATTTTGATATCTGTGATCAAAGATGCGTAATGATTACCGTTGCACTCTGTACAGCTCAACTTCAAAATCTAGAAATAAATAATACTTCATGAAATATAGACTGTTTTCAATTTTAATAAAAGAGTACAAGTCTTGATTTAAAATTCGAAAAATCCTTCATGAATTTGAATGAGTGGGGGGGGGAAATGTTTGTTTTGTTTACATCTACATTAAATAAAGCCGAACCCGAGGGTGGAAATACTCCCATTAATATTCCACACCATAAAAATAATAATTTCACAAATGAATTCATATTTTATGTGATTTTTTAAAAAATATTTTTCAATATTTTTCTTCCTCAAGAACAACAATTTAAGGAGGAAAAAGTGGCGTTAAATCGGCGTGACTTACTTGTCGGTTTTTCCCCCCTCGGAGGAAGATGCAAGCTTGTTTCAGGCTCATGCTGTCTCTGCTTGCGTTTAAGAAGTCTAAACGTATGTAGGATGCACGATGGCACGTATGTACGTATGCATGTATGCCGTCTTTACGGAGAGTGCGGGCAGCCGTACATGAGTGTAAAATGTCATCACGAGTGATGTGTGCATGTCCGAGAGGAGGGATGAAGTCTCTGACGGATTATCTCTGCCGCTTTGCTCTGGAAGAGAAATACGGGCTTAATGATGCACACTTACATATACGGGGCACATTCACGTGCGCTTTTGAGGCTTTTTCGAAAGAGCACAATTCCACAGAAGATACATGATAACTTTGCTTGGATTGTAAATCCTGGTGTATTTATTTAAAATAAAAACGTGATGTGAAAATAGTCATTTCTATCAAGACGCCACATATAATCTGTTAAAAACCTAAATAATGACGCAAATTTCAAATCAGCTTAAATTGAGATGGTCTTGACATGCCGGATTTTGATTCAGATTCTGCATCAGACCGCTAAGTCCTGCAATCACTTTTATATCTTTTTACATAACCGCATTGATCGCGCTCGCAAACAGTATGCAGACGGAAACCACTTTGACATCACCAACAAAGCACATTAGATTTATTTATTCGTTGACTGTTTACGCGGTACTTCAAATGGATTTATAAAATAGACACTTTTCGCGATCCACTTAAAGCAAGTCATTAAGTGAGTGATTCAGAAAGTACTTAAAAAAACGCATCGAATAGCTTGACAGAATCAGAGAGTCGACATTTTAAACATAGTACAGGAAAAAAAACCAAAAGAATTCTAATCATCAAACAAATCCCCCCCGAACAAAAGTTAACATTCATCAATCTCATATAAGATTTCTTTTTAAACGATGCTGTATTTGTAAAATATGGTGATATAAATGAAGCATGTTTTTTTTTTTTTTTGCCTATAAGACAGATGCAAAGCAGTTGTCATGCCAGAAACTTCATTTCAGTCAAGCTAAGCTTTCTCAGTTTCCAAACATGTCTTCGGGCGGCACCTCTGGGACGCCACCTGCTCATGTGAAACAGGAACCAGAAAAACATCCTGCACCCGAAACACTCTCTGTGCTCATGTGCTCACAAAAGAACACTTGACAATATGAATAAAATATTGGCAAACTGTACACTTTGATGGGATGTTTTTTTTTGGGGGGGTGCGGGGGGGGGCATTCTGTCATAAAATGAAAGGAGCGGTAAGTGGAAAAAAAAGAAGACAAACAAATTTGCCACGAGATCAACATGCACCCAATCACAAATAGATTGAGTACATTTGAACATAAACTGTGTCACTGTTTTTGCCAGTTTGAGAATTGCATTTTGAAGCATATGGCGACAAACGCTGCACCCGCTCTCTTATGCGGTGCCACGGCGAAAAGTGAACACCCCACCGGCGCGCTCTGAAGCTTGCAGTCAGGCCCTCGCAGATGGGACGCTCCCGTCGGGACACCGTCAGTGGCAACCGGGCGACCGTGTTCTGCGGAGTCGTGCTGGGACTGCTGGCTGCTGCACACGTGATCTTTGACCCCCTCACCTTCAACATTTAACGTTCTCTTCTCCAAAGGTTTACAAAGAGAAGCTACGGGACTAAAATATGCTTCTGCAATTTTATTAAGACCAAGAAAAAGGAGCCTGTTTCATGAAGCAATATTTTAAATCCGGAAAAAGCATTTTCAAACTCCAGCTAAGTCACGGGCGATTCGACTCGCAATCAACTTTTATGCCTGGTCGGAGTGTTCAGTGTGGCCCGCGGCTGCAGCACGAGCAGCATCGATGCGCTAAGAGAATTCCAGTCCAATGCGTCACGTTGGTTTTGCTCAGTGACTCCATCGCGAACAGACATGAACAAGATACAAATACACCCGATTCAGTGGAAAAACTCCCCCGAGGTGACCAAATCAGAAAAAAACAAAAAACCCAACAACTATCGTGAGCACCATATTTCCGTATGCTCTTACGGGGCACTTTGTGGCGATTTCAAAAGCATCCCACCGATCCTCGATGCAAAACACGCTTCCCACCGGTGCGCTATAAAGACCTGCTGCCATGCCCTCAAGCAAGAGCAGGACCCCTTTGCGTTTTCTGCTCTGAACCAAGATGGCGGACAGAATGCTAACATCCTTGCTGCTTGCTCTTTTGGCTTTGGCGGCCGCTCAAGCCTGGAGCATAGAGGAGTCCGAACCGGTGGAGAAAAGAGTCGGAGAATCCCACACACTGACGTGCACAACATCAGGCTTACGTTTTTCCAACTACGGATGGGGCTGGATCAAAAAAGCGCCTGGAAAAGGCCTGCAATGGATAGCTCATAGAGTTGCCTCCTGGTTGATTGCAGACTATTACACAGAAGAAATTCAGGGTAGATTCATCATCAAAACAGACGGTACAAGCGACCAGGTCTCACTAACTATGGGCCGTCTGACGGCCGATGACACCGCTCTGTATTACTGTGTCAGAACCACCGTGATCGATAACATGAGAAAAGGCCCACAAAAACAATCCCTTGATTTTCCCACCAGTTTTGTCTGCTTCAGACTGACACAAAGAGTCACACTTGCGACACTTGACACGAATTCAAAGGGCGCCGGCTAAAAAGAAAACACTCCATGATAAAGCTGCCATTTTCTCTTGAAATAAATTCTTTGTCACGCCTGACCAACCCCCCACCACCAATTATGAAAAGGAACGGATCACGATTCCAACATAATAATAATAATGAACACGTGCAAGACTCATGAGAATGTTTAATTTGTTTCCGTTTGTCGTTGATGGATATTTTAAAGTTTTGTTCCCGCCCCCCAAAAAATGACTTTTGGCACATGCTGGAGCCGAGGAGGTTTTTGAGAGGGCGCGTGTCATTGTGGAACTAACATATGGGTGGACGGGTACCCACGGTGTCACACACGATGGCAAAAACCTGGGATGATGTGAACACTCGAATGGCGCTCTCGTCACAAACTGCAAGCACGAGGAGAAAATTGTTGTCACCTATTGATGACATTAAAGGAGTCGACTCATGGCAGCTTAATCATAAACTGGATGACCTCCAAGTTATACTTGCCAACCCCAAATAACATCTTGACCGGTATACATCATGTAAGATGAATTATTCGTCGAGGATAAACATGATAAAACGTGGCCATGTCCGTAGTAGCATTTTAACCCGAAAAGGGCCTCGGGCCGCCCCCCTGGGAGACCACCTGCTCATCTGAAACAGGAAGCAGAAAAGCAGCTTTGGCTCAAAATGCACCGTTAGTAGTTAGTGTGCTTGCGAGTCACACTAACTCAAGCTGAGCTTTTCATGCTTTAACATTACTGCATTCATGTGATGCTTTTTTTTTTTGCTCGGAGAAAGTTGAGAAAGGTTTGTGAACCTGAAAATGAATCTCGGTGTGTTTTGGGTTGAATTCTGAGAAACAATTTGCAATTTGCATGTTTGATAGTCACTTGGAGGTCGTTTTAAATTCATCAAAACTTTGGTGTCGTATTAGAAAAACGGGAAAAAAGGGGGTAAAAATCAGGGGTGTCAAATTCATTTTTGTCGCGTTATGACTGTGAAACCATATGAGGAAGTCAACTGCTGTAATGAGGGTTTTGGAAACAAGCAAACTTACAATAGCTCTCTTATATATTACTTATGACAATTTGAAATTTTGGTCCAAATTTTAGCAAGCATCATTCAAGTCATCATGTTTGATTCTGCACCGTTAGTAGTTAGTGTGCTTGCGAGTCACACTAACTCAAGCTGAGCTTTTCATGCTTTAACTTTACTGCATTCATGTGATGCATTTTTTTTTTGCTCGGAGAAAGTTTAGAAAGGTTTGTGAACCTGAAAATGAATGTCAGTGTGTTTTGGGTTGAATTCTGAGAAAGAATTTGCAATTTGCATATTTGAGAGTCACTTGGAGGTCGTTTTAAATTCATCAAAACTTTGGTGTTGTATTAGAAAAACGGGAAAAAAAGGGGATAAAAATCAGGAGTGTCAAATTCATTTTTGTCGCGGGCCACATTATGGTTACCGGTTCCTTTGGAGGGCCGTTATGACTGTGAAACCATATAAGGAAGTCAACTACTGTAATGAGGGTTTTGGAAACAAGCAAACTTACAATAGCTCTCTTTTATATTACCTACGAGAATTTGAAATTTTGGTACAAATTTTAGCAAGCATTATTGAAGTCAACATGTTTGATTCGCTTTCGCGGGCCACATCAAATGATGTGGCGGGCCGGAAAGGGGCGGCAAAGCGGTCCAGTGGTTAGCACGTCGGCCTCCCACTGCCGAGGTCCCCGGGTTGTCTCCAGGCTGTCATAAAACGGTCACAAATTTCGGAAACTTGAAACCACACCGAACACGTGTATGTTTTCAAGCGTACATATAGTCACCTGTTGACAAATATATACCTGCCGTCTTTCATGGCAGTGCCACTATGCAAAATGAACATCGCCCCCGCCCCCATCACACCCCCTCAGGGTGCTATAAAACTTGCAGTGAGGCTCTCGCAGGAGACACGCTCCCATCAGGACACCCTCAGCTGCAACCATGTTCCATGTCGTTGCGCTGGTGTTGCTGGCCGCTGCTTCCAGTAAGATGCGGGCGATGATTACTGCGGCACACGCGACTTTTGACTCCTCTCCTTCAACATCTAACATTCTGGTTCTCCACAGGCGTCAAGTGCGAACAGTTGACCCAGCCGCCGTCTGTGACTCTGCGGTCCGGTCAGGAGTTAAACATCGCCTGTCAGGTGTCTTATTCGTTAAGCAGCTACTACACTGCGTGGGTCAGGCAGGCGGCTGGGAAAGGACTGGAATGGATCGGGATGAGATTCACTGGGGCCTATTACCGCAAGGATTCCCTGAGTAGCAAGTTCAGTATTGAACTCGACCCCTCCAGCCAAACCGTAACCCTGAATGGACAGAATATGCAGCCTGAAGACACGGCTGTGTATTACTGCGCCAGACAAACACAACAATAAAAACCATCAGGAGACCTGAACAAAAAGCTAACAATAAGAAAAAAAAACTGGGGAGTTCTGAAGCGTATCAGGCGAACAACCTCAAGTTCTTTCTTCCCCCAAAATGTTGCATCTGGCACACGCCCACTCAGTAGGGGCAAGCGTGATCGTGCATAGCGTCTTAAAAAAATGACAGTGGAACCTTCAAAGTGGAGAGGTAAAAAAATGATAAATTTGGAGTCCAACCAAGAAAATGATGTCGAAAATAAGCATCAAAAGACAAACAAAATGAGGGGAAATAACAAGCGGGCTGTCATACTCGACATTAGTGCCGCCACCTTGGCATCGCAGGACACACAGAGATGAACAACCATCCACAAAAACCTTTCTTTTGAACCAGTCGGCCAGTTTGGTCACTGCATGAAGAACACTTCCAACATATCAGAGAGAAAATGTCGCCGGCTCAAAAGAGAACATACAATCCGAGAGGAAGCTCCCATTTTCTGTTGACATGCATCATTTTAGTGGCATGTCGTCACCTCCCTAACATAACGGCCTGTCTTTTTTTTTCAATTTTCTTTTAAGAAAACCCAAAAATAGTCGCAAAGACTGATTACATTTTTTTCATCATTTCATTTGAGTGTTAGAATTGAATGAGCTTTTTAACGAAGGATGGAGATGATTTTATCTTAGGTGGCCTGGCTGTGTATTACTGCGCCAGACAAACACAACAATACAAACCATCAGGAGACCTGAACAAAAAGCTAACAATGAGGAAAAACTAAAGTGGGAGCCTGAGATTTGAAGGCAAAAACTTTTTTTTTTTTTAAATAATATTACTTAGGCCATAGTTTTAAAAGGGTGATGTATTTTCTTTTTTTTTTAAATGTTGTACCATGAAAATAAATGTCAGAAGCGTATCAGGCGAACAACCTCAAGTTCTTTCTTTCCCCAAAATGTTGCATCTGGCTAACAATCAGGAAAAAAAAAAAGTGGGAGGAGTTCTGAAGCTTATCAGGCGAACAACCTCAAGTTCTTTCTTCCCCCAAAATGTTGCATCTCGCACACGCCCACTCAGTAGGGGCAAGCGTGATCACGCGTAGCGTCTTAAAAAAAATGATAGTGGAACCTCCAAAGTGGAGAGGTAAATAAATGATAAATTTGGAGTCAAACCAAGAAAATGATGTCGAAAATAAGCATCAAAAGACAAACAAAATGAGGGGAAATAACTCAAGCGGGCTGTCATACTCGACATTAGTGCCGCCACCTTAGCCTTTTTTTTTTGCTACATTTAGGAAATTTTCTGACTCTACCAGCAACTATCCATCCATTTTCCGATCTGCTTTATCCCCACAAGGTCGTGGGGGGTGCAGGAGCCGATCTCAGCCATCTCCGGCCAGTAGGCGGGGGGACACACAGAGATGAACAACCATCCACAAAAACCTTTCTTTTGAACCAGTCGGCCAGTTTGGTCACTCCCTGAAGAACACTTCCAACACATAAGAGAGAAAATGTCGCTGGCTCAAAAGAGAACAAACAATCAGAGAGGAAGCTCCCATTTTCTGTTGACATGCATCATTTTAGTGGCATGTCGTCACCTCCCGAACATAATGGCCAGTCTTTTTTTTTTCAATTTTCTTTTAAGAAAACCCCAAAAATAGTTGCAAAGACTGATTATATTTTTTTATCATTTCATTTGAGCGCTAGAATAGAATGAGCTTTTTAACGAAGGATGTAGATGATTTTATCTTTGGTGGTCATTAGCCTGAGATTTGAAGGCAAAAACTTTTTTTTTTTTTTTTTATAAATATGACTTAGGCCATAGTTTTAAAAGGGTGATGATGTATTTTATTTATTTTTTTTTAAATGTTGTACCATGAAAATAAATGTCACGGATTTCCAACATAATAATAATTGTAAACCAATGCCGAAATCATCAATCTCGTAAATGATTTCCTTTTATTGTTTATGGATTGGGTGGCACGGTGGTGGCCTGGGATCAGATAACGGATGGATGTTTGTGGATTTTCAAGTGGCGGCAAAGCGGTCCAGTGGTTAGCACGTCGGCCTCCCACTGCCGAGGTCCCCGGGTTGTCTCCAGGCTGTCATAAAACGGTCACAAATTTCGGAAACTTGAAACTAAATGATAAATTTGGAGTCAAACCAAGAAAATGATGTCGAAAATAAGCATCAAAAGACAAACAAAATGAGGGGAAATAACTCAAGCGGGCTGTCATACTCGACATTAGTGCCGCCACCTTAGCCTTTTTTTTTTGCTACATTTAGGAAATTTTCTGACTCTACCAGCAACTATCCATCCATTTTCCGATCTGCTTTATCCCCACAAGGTCGTGGGGGGTGCAGGAGCCGATCTCAGCCATCTCCGGCCAGTAGGCGGGGGGACACACAGAGATGAACAACCATCCACAAAAACCTTTCTTTTGAACCAGTCGGCCAGTTTGGTCACTCCCTGAAGAACACTTCCAACACATAAGAGAGAAAATGTCGCTGGCTCAAAAGAGAACAAACAATCAGAGAGGAAGCTCCCATTTTCTGTTGACATGCATCATTTTAGTGGCATGTCGTCACCTCCCGAACATAATGGCCAGTCTTTTTTTTTTCAATTTTCTTTTAAGAAAACCCCAAAAATAGTTGCAAAGACTGATTATATTTTTTTATCATTTCATTTGAGCGCTAGAATAGAATGAGCTTTTTAACGAAGGATGTAGATGATTTTATCTTTGGTGGTCATTAGCCTGAGATTTGAAGGCAAAAACTTTTTTTTTTTTTTTTTATAAATATGACTTAGGCCATAGTTTTAAAAGGGTGATGATGTATTTTATTTATTTTTTTTTAAATGTTGTACCATGAAAATAAATGTCACGGATTTCCAACATAATAATAATTGTAAACCAATGCCGAAATCATCAATCTCGTAAATGATTTCCTTTTATTGTTTATGGATTGGGTGGCACGGTGGTGGCCTGGGATCAGATAACGGATGGATGTTTGTGGATTTTCAAGTGGCGGCAAAGCGGTCCAGTGGTTAGCACGTCGGCCTCCCACTGCCGAGGTCCCCGGGTTGTCTCCAGGCTGTCATAAAACGGTCACAAATTTCGGAAACTTGAAACCACACCGAACACGTGTATGTTTTCAAGCGTACATATAGTCACCTGTTGACAAATATATACCTGCCGTCTTTCATGGCAGTGCCACTATGCAAAATGAACATCGCCCCCGCCCCCATCACACCCCCTCAGGGTGCTATAAAACTTGCAGTGAGGCTCTCGCAGGAGACACGCTCCCATCAGGACACCCTCAGCTGCAACCATGTTCCATGTCGTTGCGCTGGTGTTGCTGGCCGCTGCTTCCAGTAAGATGCGGGCGATGATTACTGCGGCACACGCGACTTTTGACTCCTCTCCTTCAACATCTAACATTCTGGTTCTCCACAGGCGTCAAGTGCGAACAGTTGACCCAGCCGCCGTCTGTGACTCTGCGGTCCGGTCAGGAGTTAAACATCGCCTGTCAGGTGTCTTATTCGATAGGCAGCTACCACACTGCGTGGGTCAGGCAGGTGGCTGGGAAAGGACTGGAATGGATCGGGAGCAGAAGACACACTGGGGACTATTACCGCAAGAATTCCCTGATTAGCAAGTTCAGTATTGAACTCAACCCCTCCAGCCAAACCGTAACCCTGAATGGACAGAATATGCAGCCTGAAGACACGGCTGTGTATTACTGCGCCAGACAAACACAACAATACAAACCATCAGGAGACCTGAACAAAAAGCTAACAATGAGGAAAAACTAAAGTGGGAGGAGTTCTGAAGCGTATCAGGCGAACAACCTCAAGTTCTTTCTTTCCCCAAAATGTTGCATCTGGCTAACAATCAGGAAAAAAAAAAAGTGGGAGGAGTTCTGAAGCTTATCAGGCGAACAACCTCAAGTTCTTTCTTCCCCCAAAATGTTGCATCTCGCACACGCCCACTCAGTAGGGGCAAGCGTGATCACGCGTAGCGTCTTAAAAAAAATGATAGTGGAACCTCCAAAGTGGAGAGGTAAATAAATGATAAATTTGGAGTCAAACCAAGAAAATGATGTCGAAAATAAGCATCAAAAGACAAACAAAATGAGGGGAAATAACTCAAGCGGGCTGTCATACTCGACATTAGTGCCGCCACCTTAGCCTTTTTTTTTTGCTACATTTAGGAAATTTTCTGACTCTACCAGCAACTATCCATCCATTTTCCGATCTGCTTTATCCCCACAAGGTCGTGGGGGGTGCAGGAGCCGATCTCAGCCATCTCCGGCCAGTAGGCGGGGGCTGGCCGCTGCTTCCAGTAAGATGCGGGCGATGATTACTGCGGCACACGCGACTTTTGACTCCTCTCCTTCAACATCTAACATTCTGGTTCTCCACAGGCGTCAAGTGCGAACAGTTGACCCAGCCGCCGTCTGTGACTCTGCGGTCCGGTCAGGAGTTAAACATCGCCTGTCAGGTGTCTTATTCGATAGGCAGCTACCACACTGCGTGGGTCAGGCAGGTGGCTGGGAAAGGACTGGAATGGATCGGGAGCAGAAGACACACTGGGGACTATTACCGCAAGAATTCCCTGATTAGCAAGTTCAGTATTGAACTCAACCCCTCCAGCCAAACCGTAACCCTGAATGGACAGAATATGCAGCCTGAAGACACGGCTGTGTATTACTGCGCCAGGCAACCACAACAATAAAAACCATCAGGAGACCTGGACAAAAAGCAAACAATCAGAAAAAAAAGTGGGAGGAGTTCTGAAGCTGATCAGGCGAGCAACCTCGTTCTTTCTTCCCCCAAAATGTTGCATCTGGTACACACCCACTCAGTAGGGGCAAGCGTGATCGCGCATAGCGTCTTAAAAAAATGACAGTGGAACCTTCAAAGTGGAGAGGTAAAAAAATGATAAATTTGGAGTCCAACCAAGAAAATGATGTCGAAAATAAGCATCAAAAGACAAACAAAATGAGGGGAAATAACAAGCGGGCTGTCATACTCGACATTAGTGCCGCCACCTTGGCATCGCAGGACACACAGAGATGAACAACCATCCACAAAAACCTTTCTTTTGAACCAGACGGCCAGTTTGGTCACTCCCTGAAGAACACTTCCAACACATAAGAGAGAAAATGTCGCCGGCTCAAAAGAGAACATACAATCCGAGAGGAAGCTCCCATTTTCTGTTGACATGCATCATTTTAGTGGCATGTCGTCACCTCCCGAACATAATGGCCAGTCTTTTTTTTTTCAATTTTCTTTTAAGAAAACCCCAAAAATAGTTGCAAAGACTGATTATATTTTTTTATCATTTCATTTGAGCGCTAGAATAGAATGAGCTTTTTAACGAAGGATGTAGATGATTTTATCTTTGGTGGTCAACACGGCTGTGTATTACTGCGCCAGGCAACCACAACAATAAAAACCATCAGGAGACCTGGACAAAAAGCAAACAATCAGAAAAAAAAGTGGGAGGAGTTCTGAAGCTGATCAGGCGAGCAACCTCGTTCTTTCTTCCCCCAAAATGTTGCATCTGGTACACACCCACTCAGTAGGGGCAAGCGTGATCGCGCATAGCGTCTTAAAAAAATGACAGTGGAACCTCCAAAGTGGAGAGGTAAATAAATGCTAAATTTGGAGTCAAACCAAGAAAATGATGTCGAAAATAAGCATCAAAAGAAACAAAATGAGGGTCAATCACTCAAGTGGGCTGTCATACTCGAGATTAGTGCCGCCACCTTGGCATCGCAGGACACACAGAGACGAACAACCATCCACAAAAACCTTTCTTTTGAACCAGTCGGCCAGTTTGGTCACTGCATGAAGAACACTTCCAACATATCAGAGAGAAAATGTCGCCGGCTCAAAAGAGAACATACAATCCGAGAGGAAGCTCCCATTTTCTGTTGACATGCATCATTTTAGTGGCATGTCGTCACCTCCCGAACATAATGGCCAGTCTTTTTTTTTCAATTTTCTTTTAAGAAAACCCAAAAAATAGTCGCAAAGACTGATTACATTTTTTTCATCATTATATTTGAGTGTTAGAATTGAATGATCTTTTTAACGAAGGATGTAGATGATTTTAGCTGAGGTGGTCATTATCCTGAGATTTGAAGGCAAAACCTTTTTTTTTAATCTTACTTCGGCCATAGTTTTAAAAGGGCGACAATGTATTAGATTTTTTAAAAATGTTGTACCATGAAAATAAATGCCTCGGATTTCCAACATAATAATAATTGTAAACCAATGCCGAAATCATCAATCTCGTAAATGATTTCATTTTATTGTTTATGGATTGGGTGGCACGGTGGTGGCCTGGGATCAGATAACGGATGGATGTTGGTGGATTTTCAAGTGGCGGCACAGCGGTCGAGTGGTTAGCACGTCCGCCTCCCACTGCCGAGGTCCCCGGTTTGTCTCCAGGCTGTCATAAAACGGTACCAAATTTCGGAAACTTGAGAGCACACCGAACACGTGTATGTTTTCAAGCGTACATATAGTCACCTGTTGACAAATATATACCTGCCGTCTTTCATGGCAGTGCCACTATGCAAAATGAACATCGCCCCCGCCCCCCTCACACCCCTCCCAGGGTGCTATAAAACTTGCAGTGAGGCTCTGGCAGGAGACACGCTCCCATCAGGACACCTTCAGCTGCAACCATGTTCCGTGTCGTTGCGCTGGTGTTGCTGGCCGCTGCTTCCAGTAAGATGCGGGCGATGATCGCTGCGGCACACAAGACTTTTGACTCCTCGCCTTCAACATCTAATATTCTGGTTCTCCACAGGCGTCAAGTGCGAACAGTTGACCCAGCCGCCGTCTTTGACTCTGCAGTCCGGTCGGGACTTGACCATCACCTGTCAGGTGTCTTATGATTTGGATGACTACCACACTGCGTGGGTCAGGCAGGTGGCTGGGAAAGGACTGGAATGGATCGGGATGAGAGCACTCACTGGGGCCTATTACCGCAAGGATTCCCTGAGTAGCAAGTTCAGTATTGAGCTCAACCCCAGCAGCCGAACCGTAACCCTGAATGGACAGAATATGCAGCCTGAAGACACGGCTGTGTATTACTGTGCCAGAGACGCACAGCAACTCGAACCAAAAGCAGACTTCAACAAAAACCTCACAAACCAAAATAAATAAATAAATAAAGAGGAGCTCTCAGGCTTGACTTACCACTCCATTCTTCTTCCCCTTACCGCTCAGTGATGGGGGAGGGGGGGGTGCAAGCGTTGTCTTCTTGCAAAAGCTCGGAGTGATGGAATTGCCAATCAAGCATTGTTAGTGTAACGATTGCGAGGTGGTGGTGGACCCCAAAAAGCAGGCAGGAGGGAGGAGCAGGGTGTACTTCAAGAAGTGTATTGATAAAACACAGAAAACTAAAACCTAAACAAACAAAGTCCTCACAACAAAACGAAGCCAAAGTATCAAACAAAAAACCATGACTGAAGATAAAACATAACAATGACCTCAACATGACTGAAACAAACATGACAGCAGCCAACAAACAGCAACAATGACCCAACACTGAGTGGTCGTGCCGGGAGTCCTTTTAAACCATTACATAACGACATAACGACCAACAGGTGTGCAAGCTGCAGGGTAATCCCTACAGCGCCACCTGGTGGTCCCAAACCAAATCATGACAGTTAGAGTCTGAAGCGCAATTCGTTAATTCCATCCGGATGTAATCTGTGGTCATTCATTTGAGTGATCACGTTTATCATGATCGATTAGGTCTCAGTTTAGATCTCATCAGATCAGTTTATCGTTTATTACGCCTCTGTGTGATTTTTGCACTCAACAAATTCCTCATTTGGTCGTTAATTTACTGGCATGTTTGTGGAAATGATTCTTTCAACAATGACATGTTGACAATTAGATCTGTAATTTACAAATAAAGCTGTAGCAATATTCTTCTCAAATTATAGAGTGCAATGCAGTGGGTTGGTTGTGGTCACTGGCGGAAATGTTCGCACACCTCCGCTATCGTTGAATTGAAATAAAAACTGCCAGCCCCCCCACACACACATAATGGAGCACCATGTTTCTGTCACGTGGTGAATTCAAAAGCACTCCACTGGTCCTCGAAGCTGCCAATTTCCCTCGATGCAAATTTCCCTCGATGCAAAACACGCTCGCCATCAGCTCGCGATAAAAGCTGCCGCAATTCCCTCACGTAAGTGGTAGTCCGCATCAGAACACCTTCGCCATTCCCGCTTCTAACCAAGATGGCGGACAGAATGCTAAGGCGCTTCATACTAGCGCTTTTAGCTTTGACGGCCGCTGAAGGCTGGAGCATAGAACAGTCCGAACCCGTGGTGAAAAAAGCCGGAGAATCCCACACATTGACGTGCAAAATATCCGGTTTAGATTTTTCGGACTATCCGTGGAGCTGGGTCAGAAAGGTGCCCGGAAAAGACTTCGAATTCATCTCTTATATCGGGCCTTCTAGTACTCCAAAATATTACTCACCTTTACTTCAGGAAAGATTCACCATTGCCAGACGGGACTCCAGCAGCCAGCTTGATCTCAACATAAACAGTCTGAAGACTGAGGACACAGCTGCGTACTTCTGTGCGAGGAGCACAACGATTGACATCAGTAGCAAAAGCCACAAAAAAAAAAAAAAAAAAAAATTCATCCTTTATTTTGAACCAATACTACCATCACAATAAATCCCACATAAAAAAAATGACAGCGAAAATAATGGTTTGAACAACATAACATAATGAATTATCAATAATATGTCTAACAGAGGAATGTTACCTGACACGTTTTTTTTGTTGTTGTTGCAAATTCTAAGAAAAATTACGCATGGCCACTGAAACAAAATCAGATTTATTTCTTGCAGGTCTTTGTTTTTTTGGAAAATAGGTTTTGCTGCTTCCGCTTCGACACATCGCACATCCTCCATTCAAAAAGAAGAATTTCAAGCGACCCTGAATAAAATAAACACGCACACCAAGACGAAGCTTGATTATGATCTGTTCATGAATTTTAAAGGCATGTTCTGTTTGATCAATTTATTTGCAGTTAAACAGCATGAAAATAAATGGATCCGATGTCCTCCTGAATAATGAACATATCCATGAATAATGGAAAATTTTAATTCCACGGTACTATTTCATTTCATTTTGTCCTTTATTGACACTTAAAAGTTTTGTCTTCCACAAACACCTTGACACAGGATACAGCTGGGAGGTTTTTGACAGGGCGTGTGTCATTGTGAATACGGTGTATCGGTACTCACACAGTGCCACACATCATAACAAAAACCTGTGATCCTCTGTTGGGATTCTGTCTACAAAATGTGACCATTTTGTTGTGGGGGGGGGGTAGCATGAGGATGATCGTTAATTCAATACTTTTAAATGGACATAATTACTGTATAGCACTGGCATCAAGCTGAAACCGCCGACATGAAATTTTTTTTCAATTTCATATTTTTCCACCACTTTTTTTTGTTGTTGTTGCAAATTCTAAGAAAAATTGCGCATGCCCATTGAAACAAAATCAGATTTATTTCTTGATTGATTTATTACAAAAAAAAAAAATCTCCAGTGAAAATTGTACTTTGTGCATCCGACTTCCACTTCATCTGAGTTTGCAGGTCTTTGTTTTTTGGAAAATAGGTTTTGCTGCTTCCGCTTCGACACATCGCACATCCTCCATTCAAAAAGAAGAATTTCAAGCGACCCTGAATAAAATAAACACGCACACCAAGACGAAGCTTGATTATGATCTGTTCATGAATTTTAAAGGCATGTTCTGTTTGATCAATTTATTTGCAGTTAAACAGCATGAAAATAAATGGATCCGATGTCCTCCTGAATAATGAACATATCCATGAATAATGGAAAAAATCCACGGTACTATTTCATTTCATTTTGTCCTTTATTGACACTTAAAAGTTTTGTTTTCCAAAAATACCTTTGGCACAGGCTGCAGCTGGGAGGTTTTTGACAGGGCGTGTGTCATTGTGAATACGGTATATCGGTATTCACACACAGTGCCACACATCATAACAAAAACCTGTGATCCTTTGTTGGGATTCTGTTGACAAAATGTGACCATTTTGTTGGGGGGAGGGGAGGGGGGTTAGCAGGAGGATGATCATTAACTCACTGGCATCAAGCTGAAACCTCCGACATGAAAATTTTGTCAATTTCATATTTTTCCACCATTCAATATCGGTCAGTCTTAACTCCCCACATGGGCATGTTTTATTTTATTTAAGTATTGACCAACACAAAGTGTTAAATGCCAGCGATGTGCATTACAGGAACATGCATGATTACGATATGTATGAGGTGAATTATTTCCAGGAGGGCTGAGTATAATATATATATAAAACATTTATTCAATGTTATTATCGGCTATGTCTGAAGTAACGCAAGAATGATCTGCTGACTGCACCCCTGGGAGACCACCTGCTCATGTGAAACAGGAACTATAAAGCCATGTGAATTTCACATCCAAATGAAAAATAATTTAATTGGCATTGACACAAAAAAAAAACCAACAAAAAACATGCAGTCAAAAAGAAAAAATAACGTAATAAATTATTTTCACCCTATCAGGGATAGCAGTTACTACAGTGCGGTTTTTGACAGGGCGTGTGTCATTGTGAATACGGTATATCGGTATTCACACACAGTGCCACACATCATAACAAAAACCTGTGATCCTTTGTTGGGATTCTGTTGACAAAATGTGACCATTTTGTTGGGGGGAGGGGAGGGGGGTTAGCAGGAGGATGATCATTAACTCACTGGCATCAAGCTGAAACCTCCGACATGAAAATTTTGTCAATTTCATATTTTTCCACCATTCAATATCGGTCAGTCTTAACTCCCCACATGGGCATGTTTTATTTTATTTAAGTATTGACCAACACAAAGTGTTAAATGCCAGCGATGTGCATTACAGGAACATGCATGATTACGATATGTATGAGGTGAATTATTTCCAGGAGGGCTGAGTATAATATATATATAAAACATTTATTCAATGTTATTATCGGCTATGTCTGAAGTAACGCAAGAATGATCTGCTGACTGCACCCCTGGGAGACCACCTGCTCATGTGAAACAGGAACTATAAAGCCATGTGAATTTCACATCCAAATGAAAAATAATTTAATTGGCATTGACACAAAAAAAAAACCAACAAAAAACATGCAGTCAAAAAGAAAAAATAACGTAATAAATTATTTTCACCCTATCAGGGATAGCAGTTACTACAGTGCACAGCTTATTATGTTATCAGGTTACAGGGTGCATGAACGGGTTAAAGGCATATTATATTTCATCAATTTATTCACCGTTAAATATTAGTTAATTGATTGGATAATTATTTAAAAATACACAAAAATCATGATCTATTTGATGAAAGATTTCATTTGGATTTGTTGTGGCTTCCGTATATCGGAAAGGTTTGCCCTTTAAAAAATACCTTTGGCACAGGCTCCAGCTGGGAGGTTTTTGACAGGACGTGTGTCATCGTGTGGGTATATGGGGTGGCACAGTGTGACACACCATGACAAAAACCTCTGACGAGGCGACGGTTGGAATGGCAGACGATTTGCAAATTGCCCGCAGAGGGACACATTTCTTGACACATAATAATGGCAGCGAATTATGGAATGAGCTGGACTCGTGAAACAATAATATTCTATTAGATCCAACAAAATATCATGTCCAAAAAACGTCATTCACGAGAGGGGGCAACAACGAGATCATCATTAGCTCTGAAATGTTAAAAGAAATATGCATAGTGTATATATCCATCCATCCATCCATTTTATGATGCGCTTTACCCTCACAAGGGTTGCAGGGGATGCTGGAGCCCATCCCAGCCGTCTTCGGGCAGTAGGCGGGGGACACCCTGAACCGGTTGCCAGCCAATCCGTGCTCACACTCACACGGAGGGATAATTTAGAGTGTTCAATCAGACTGCCACGCATGTTTTTGGAATGTGGACACCCGGAGAAAACCCACGCAGGCATGGGGACTACATACAAACTCCACACAGGAAGGCCACAATGAGGATATCATATTTATCTTTTCTGTTTGCTATCATGCAGACTCTACACATGAGTGCCAAAGCCCAAAATTCAAAGGTCACGTTTCTGGGTTCAAGATTTCAGGCAGTATTTTTAGATCACACGAGAGTTCCCGTTTCATTTTCCTTGGCCCCCCCAGGATGGCACAAGATGGTGACAAACAAGTCCCCGGGTCTAGACGGGCATGTATGAAGGGGCAGCCACAAATCTTGAGGGGGCCATTGCGCTCCAGCACCATGTCAAACTGACAAGTGGCAGAAAAACAACGTTTTAACAACCGTCGGATGACACACACTCCAGATGTCAGGAAATAAACTTCTCAAGGAAGACGATTGAGAACCACAGGACAAGACTATTTGAGGAAGTTGTTTTCCTGTTTTCCTTTTTTTTTTTTTGTAGGGTATTTGCATTGCCAACAGATTGCTCTGTATCGCTGTGTAGTTACTTGGACTACTGGGGCAAAGGAACCCAAGTCACAGTTACATCTGGTGAGTAACAATTGATGTTTTATGTCTGGAAAAAGTGCCTTGAAAGTTTTTGTATTGCATTGAAATTGTATTCGCTCAATGTGACTGTGCCTTTGACTACTGGGGCAAAGGAACCCAAGTCACAGTTACGGGAGGTAAGTCATGAATGTTTTGTGTTTGGAAACCGCCTTACGAAATGCGAACTAAAAGGGATTTTGTGCTTCATTGTTCATATGTTTTTGTAATTCTTTCCTATTGAGGAGGGAAAAGCAATGTGAGTAATACAAGGTAAGTACTGAATGCCAATTTGGTGTTTTTTTTGGGGGGGGGGTGGCTGCATTTTATTATCTCTTTAAGCACTGTAAGCATTACCGATAATTGGAAATGTTTTTTTTTTTAAAGCCAAACAATGTTTTATCAACTATTCCTTATAATTTGAGCAGATTTGACATACAACAATTTTTTTTTGGTGTCAATTCATTTTTAACCGAATCCCATGAAAATAAGGCAAGAAAAATATGTCCGTTTTACAAATGACACATGAATGGTCTTGTTCAAACGTGAAGTTAAACTGGCTCAAAGTTAAAAAGCGTATTTGATATGAAAAGTGCTTTGTCTGTTTATATCTTCGATTGTCGGGTCTCATAAGTTTGAATAAGTTTCACAGATTTTTTCGTTTTTATTGTCCCTTTGAGTAAAATGTCAGTTTATTAACGTTTCCCAACCTTTGTTCAGTCATGCAAAATTGTTTGATGTTGATGTGTTGCGAATGAAATTATACCAAAAAAAAAAAAAAAGAGCCGCAAGTGATATTTGATATTGCTAAAAATGACAAAAAGTGCAATTTTCTTACATACTAATACGATGGTTTTGTTTTCAATGATGTGCAAAATATAATCGTGTCGCAAGGTTATTTTAGTGAATGAAAATCAACAAAATATCTCAAATTAAAAAACACGAACAAATAAAAGCAAGAATGCTTTTGGAAAAAAAAATGGAAACGAACTGAAACGACATCTTACATTTGTAAAACTAAATAAAACTAATATAACTACAGTGAAAATGTTTTCATTTTCATCATTGTCTTTTAATATCATAAATGGGCTTTCGGGATTCATTCAAAGAATAATTAGTGACCTTTTTTTTTTTGTGGTGTCTTGCACTCAACAAAAACTGTATTTCATATATTGTATTAAAAAAATCCCCAAATCGACCACCATTTTTGTTCTTTTTTCCAGGTACGCCAATCAAACCGACCCTCTTTCCTCTGATGCAATGTGGCTCCGGAGCAACGCTCAGTCTCGGCTGTCTCGCCACCGGCTTCACACCATCTCCCCTGACCTTCACCTGGACCAAAGACGGAAGCGCCTTGACTGACTTTATTCAGTATCCTTCAGTTGAAAACAACAACCTCTATACGGGAGTCAGTCAAATCCAAGTGAGGAGAGTGGACTGGGATAACAAGGCCAAATACCGATGCGTTGCCAAACATTCCAACGCAAATGTTGAACTGACGATCACCAAAACAGAAGGTAATGCAATTTTATTTTATTTTTTTTGAAAGCAAAGATTCTTATCATAGGTTTTCAAATAGATGTCTTCATGAAATGTAAGCATGCATGAGATAAGAAAAAAAGTTGATTCAAACCCTATTCATCGCTGTTCTTTACTTCATTACAATTATGACCGTGACATCATTTGAATGCAGAGTTAATTATGTTATCAAAACACACACCCCAAAAAAAAAAATTTTAAAAAATTATAATTAAAAAAAACAAAAAACAAAAGTGGTTACGACAGTGGACATGTCATCAAGTAATCAGATTACAGGGTGTCATTATTTGTGCATGAAAGGGTTAATGAGGTTTTGATTGAGTGACTGCCATGAAATGTGTCATGAAAATCCACATTTCTCCTGACCCCCTGATTCTGAATAAATAAACACAAGGGTAGGGAGCACACCGGACGCTAACAGAAACTGTCACTCAATTAAATAGCATCCAGATTTTGTGAATGGATTCAATGTCAGTCCAAACCAAACAGTGAGGTGGAAAGGAATTGCAGGATGCTCCTTGCTGATTCTGCCCCATCTGCCCCCGCCCCACCCCACGAAAAAAAATCCTCACAATATTTTTGTGCTTGTTGCATTTCGCCGCGTACGCATTAGACTGCAAATAACTCCGATTTACGCTCGCTTGCCTCAGCGTGTATAACTGTATATGCAAATGCACACATGGAAAGTCGGCGATAAAAAAAAAAAAAGCATATTTACGAGCAAAAAGTATAACTTTGAATCTGATGAAGTCGTCGGAAGTTCTTAAATCATGGACAAAGAAGAATTTTGTCCTCCCCATCATGTCTGCTTGTGCATATACAGCGTGTGTCGTCTTGTCTCGGCTCACTTTCGTGTCGACTTGTGCATAAATGTGTCGTCTTGTCTCGCGCCAACATATTTTGGTGGATATTTTGTTTGTTTGTTTGTTTTTCAGAGGCCTTCTCGTTGCCAACGGTCAAAGTGTTGGCCACTACCGATGGGCAAGACGAGGCGTCTTTTGCCTGCTTTGCCAAAGATTTTTCCCCCAACGTTTATGGCTTCAAATGGCTGCTAAACGGTCACGACATCCCCAACAAAATGGACGAGATCAAGACTCATTCTGAGGCCCGAAAGGGCCCAGATGGAACGACGCTTTACAGCGCCGCGAGCTTTCTCACGCTCTCGCCTAACCAGTGGTCACCTGACGCCACCATCAAGTGTGAGTTTAAAGGGAGAGGCGCGCAAGGAGATGTTTTTGTGTCGGCAGATTTTGCCCAGAATTGTGCCTCGAATTCATCTGGTAAGAACATTTCTGTTTGTTTTTTTTTTTTAAAAATTTGAAATGACGTACTTCCAATGTAACCGGCTTCGAAATGTGTCGGCACAAATGGCAGTTTCGACAGATGTGACATTCCCTGACGTGGATGTAAACGTGAAGATCGTGGGCCCCACGGCGGACGAGATGTTTTTGCAGAGACAAGGAACCGTCATATGTGAAGTCAAAATCAACAAGCCGTCCGTGAAGAGTATTTCATGGGAGAACCAGGACGGCAAGAAAATGGCTGATACCTTGATATCCCTCCAGTCCGGCCAAACGGGCGTATTTCGCTCTTTGCTTCAACTGACGTATGACGAATGGAGAAAAAATGAAAAGCACAACTGCATTGTGCTGCGTCCAGATACGGGGGGCGTGATGAAGGTATCCTACCAAAGATATGCGGGTAAGAAATCTTCCACTCATGATCAAAGGTGTGTGTGTGTGTGTGTGTGTGTGTGTGTGTGTGTGTGTGTGTGTGTGTGTGTGTGTGTGTGTGTGTGTGTGTGCGTGTGTGTGTGTTGGCGCCCTTTATTGTGCCTTGAGTTTGCACATTTTGTTTTGCCCTTCTTGCAGGTAAACCATTCCAGCGTCCTACACTTTTTATGATGACTCCACTGGAAGATATTCAAACAAACACGGTTACCCTGACTTGCTTTGCAAAAGACTTCTTCCCTCGCGATGTTCTGTTGAGGTGGCTTGTTAATGACCAGCCCGTTGGCCCCACCTACATTCAGAGCACCACCAACCCCTTAGAAAACAAAGGCTCCTATTCGGTCTATGGCCAGTTAACGATCAGCCTTGAGGAGTGGGAAAAACTAAACCTGTCCTACAGCTGTATGCTTTACCACGAATCTCTGAGCAGCACCTCCAATGTCATTGTCAGGGCCATTACGCACACGTCCGGCGGAAGCAATGCGGCCAACTTCAGGATCACGGACCCTGAATTGTGCAAGACTCAGTAGACGTCTTCTGTGTCACTCTGTCTTCTCCTGTTTTGCCTCTTGACTGTTTGCTGCTTGTTCATCCATATTTTGTGTTGCCTTCAAATGCAGATTGAAAATCCAAATAAAAAAACAAAAACAAAACAAAACCAAACAAGCGCACGTGGCAACTGTTGTATGTCGCAAGCTGTTGTCTTTATTCTGAGCAAATATTCATTGTTGGATGTGAGTTGGAGAATCACAAATGTAAACACACGCACATGCACACGCACACGCACACACAAACACACATACAACACACACATTTTTCAATATATTTTCTTGGAGGAACAGACAGTAGGTTAACTATATTTGTGTGAAAATGTATTTGTGCACGTCTTCGTCCTCTTCTGGGTCTTGCCGCCCAAACAAAACAATTGAGTTGATATTTTATGGTCAAACACGACGCACACACACTTCCACACACAAATGCAGAGTTTATATATAAATATATGTATAATCCTACTGGCCACACAAATAACAGTCTTTCAAAAGCAGCTCAGGGTCTCCAGTCTTCATCATTATGTCAAAATCTGAAATTTTTGAGGGCACTTGGGGCTTTCGAGCCTTTCGATAAACAGTTCCCCGGCAAACGGTTTGAAGATTGACGACGTAACCAAACAAATCACTTTCTCAAGGAACCACAGACTAGCCAATGTTTGATGAGTCATTGCTGACAAAACGGGCACGTGCTTTAATTTTTGAGCTTTCACTGAAGTCATAATGTGCATCCACTAGACTTCCTGGTGGAGACAAACCACCAATGGAACAATGGCGTGGATGCAGAGGAAGATAACCTGGGAGGCACAGCGCTCACCTTCATCCTCCTCTTCCTCATCACACTGCTGTTCAGCATTGGAGTAACTGTTTTCAAGGTAATACCATGTTGGTCACTGAAAAAAATAATTAAACTCCGCCAACACCATACAATTATGCCACAGCAGATCTGTATGCCTTTACGCAGTGCTTTTTAAAAAGTCTACACACCCCTGTTTAAAATGCCGTGTTTTCATGATATCAGCTGCAACTGGAACCTTTGTCAAGGTGAAGGGAATTATCAAATTATCAAATACCAGTCAGTGTTGGCGCAAAACTTTCTGCTGGAAAGCAAAAAGAAAAAAAATTTGGGAAAAGCCTACGAGAATAGCTACACTACTTTCTTTAGTGGTAGACGCACTCAAAAAGTGTCAGTGTGCTGACTCGCATTGAACACGACTTTAAATGTGAGTGGTTCATTTTCAACAGAGCAAAATCTTCACTTTTATGAAGTGTCAGTGTGCTGACTCGCATTGAACACGACTTGTGAGTGGTTAATTTTCAACAGAGCAAAATCTTCACTTTTATTAGGGTGTGCGCACTTGTGCAACCACAATACCTCACCTGTTTACTTTAAAATCTCTAAAAGATTTAGCTTTTTTTTTTCACTTGAATTATTCATGTTATAAGACACCTTAAATTAGAACATTGGTCGAAAAAACTGAAATTATATGTCATAATCTCATTTTTTTTTAATCACAAAATCATACCATTTAAAAAGGGGTGTGTAGACTTTTTTACAGTATATATCTATACCTACAAGTATTATTATTATTATTATTAGTGGTACTATTATTTTTTTATTATTATTATTATTATTATTATTATTATTACGATGGAGATTTATTTTCTTCATTTTCTTTTCAGGTCAAATGAAAAAAAGAAACCCGGTATTGTTTGTAAAAATTGTCTTCTAAATGCACACCATATTTCCCATGTAAGTAATGTTTTTTTTTTTTAACATATAAGTGACTGATGTACAGTTTGTTTAAATAAATATCAAAATGATATCAAAGGGAATATCATTGGCTTTTTTTTTTCCTTAAAGTCTGTTTGTAAAACATTTGCATCATGTCGGCACCTGGATTCAACAGGCTGTTAAAAAGACTTGAAATGTGAAAAACGTATGTAAATGTGTTTGTCACAACCTCGCCTCCTCAACACCTGCTGCCAGTCACGCGTTACTCCTCGTCATGTTTCACTTCTGTGTTTCGTGCTTTTTTTTCTGTATGCTTGTGTGTGTGTGTGTGTGTTTTAGTTTTTTTTTTTTCTTCAATGCTTTCACCCGCTGCTTGCGCCGATGCCTCCGCTCGCGCATGCCAACCAAATTTCCACCTGACTGTTCAAACACCAGACACTGTGAAAGTAAAACTCTCCCCTCCGGCCTAAAAGCAAAGACATCACATTTAGAGTTAGAGGCAACAATCTGAAGGTACGTATGACTAATTTGCCACAAATGTAGAAATCCTCAACACTGGCTAGAGAAAGAAATGACGTTAAAATGAAACACCGACTGTTTCTTTTTTTTTTTTTTTCAGTTTCAGCAGTGAGTACTGTGCTGCCAGACATTGCTCCAGACATGACATTGTATCCGCTTTTGGAGGATGAATTCGGAGCTCGCACCATCAAACTTTTGTGCATCATTAATGGCTTCTTTCCGGACACGCTGCGAGTCGAGTGGCTACGGGAAAACCAAAAGGTAGCTGCCGCACGGACCACCACCAGGAAATATCAGCGTGTGGCGGAAGAAGCCAAAACCTTCACTCTCATCAGCGAGATTGAGCCGAATGCGAGAGAGTGGAAGAGTGGCTCGGATTTTACATGCAAGTCGATTCAAAACAAAAAAGAAAGAATAAAGTCCATCAGTATTTGTGAAAGTACGTATAAAATGGCTGTATGACAGTCGTCTCTCATCAGTTGAACACATCGTGAATACAGTACAGTCACGTTGGTAACACTGACCGTGTGATGTCATCTGGCAGCTCTGGCAAACGACCCCCCTTCCATCCATGTGGAGCTTCCCAGCTTCAAGGCGGTCATGACGCAAACGTCTGACGTGACAGCGGTCTGCTCGGTGCGCACCGCGCTGGATGCCGTCGTTACAATGCTGGCGGAGGGCAAAACAGCCACTTATAACCAAGCCAGCCAGTACAACAACGCATCCCACATCGTCGGTAATCTGACCGTATCGGCAAATGAGTGGAAACAAATGAAGAGTGTGAAATGTAAAGCGGAGCACCGCTGCTTCTCAGACGTTGAGGAGACCATCGCCGTGTCAGGTAAGGGGGCGTGAGTGAAATCGACATGGTTCGGAGAGTCAAGCGCCCGCCAGACTGAAGGCTCTGTTGTTGTCCGATCATGATCGACCAGAATCTGCGGTGAACGCTCCGTCGGTGGCGATCAGGAGATCTCTTGCCGAATTGCAGAAGAACGACGGAGCCGTATTTGAATGTGACATCACACAACTTGATGCCGTCGACCTTTACATCACCCTTCAGGCCAATGGCGTGGATATTTCGGACAAACGCTATGTTGCACTCTCTAAACTGCCTGGCCCACATTCCATCAGTCCATATTTCAGCGTGCCAAAGTCGTTCGTGAAGCATGACTCGCGTTTCACCTGTAAAGTGAACCAGGGCTTCTCCAGCATCTTCCATTCCAAACCCTTTGACGTTTTTGGTGAGAGGCTACTTCAAGAAAGCCGCTTTCATGTTGATGCGTTAAACCTTATCAATATGTTGTTTTTTTATCAGCGGAGCCATCAGTGGAGCTCTTTCTGGCCCCCAGAGAAGAAGGGTCAAAGCCTCAGAGACTCCTGTGCTCCGGATGGGGCTTTAATCCTCAGATAAGATGGTACACGGGGTCTCAACCATTACCGCCATCAACGACCGACATCAGCATGAGTGCGGATGGGCGTGTGGCTGTGGCCAGTCGAGTAGACATCGAGCAAGAAGAATGGCAAACTGGCAAAGAATTCACTTGTGAAGTGTTTGACATATGGCTGAATAAAAATGTCAGAAAAACCATCAACGTCTGCGCTGGTAAATGTTTTGTTTTTTTTTTGAAATAACATTATCATCATGCACAAAACCAAATAATATTGAATCTAAACGTATCCATTCAATTTATCTTGACAGTAATCCCATCATCAGCTCAAAAAGTTGCAGTATATATTCAAGGACCGCCGCTCACGGAGTCGCAGCAGAGGGATCAAGTGACCGTCACTTGTCTTTTGGTCGGCGTGCATCTGGATGATTTCGCCATCTCCTGGAAAGTAGATGGGAAGGAATATTTCCGCAATTCCCATCCGGAGAAGCCAACCAGTCACGCCAATGGCACGCAATCCCTTCGGAGCTTCCTCGATGTGTTAGCGAGTGACTGGGATGCACATAAACAAGTGTCTTGTGAGGGAAAACACAAATGTTCCAACCAGGGATACGAGGCCCGTGTCAGCAAAAGCAAAGGTGTTGTGGTGTTATATTTTTGCAATTGCAGTCGTCATTTAATTGCCATCAAAGCATCAACATTGATCTGATCTTTGCTTGTGTTCCCCTCGACCCAGACTCGCATCCGCCAACAGTGTGCATCGTACCACCTACCATCTCTGAGCTGTCAACCTCCAATGACCTCACACTGACTTGCCTGGTTTCTGGGTTTTTCCCCGATAACAAGATAGCGTACTGGGAGAAAGATGGCCAAAGACTGCCAACGAGTTCATATATCAACAGCCCTTCATGGATCGACAGCAGCAATAGCGGCACTTTTTCAATGCTCAGCAGACTCAACGTATCAAAAAGCGAGGATCGGGGAGCCAGATATTCTTGTTCTGTCAAACATGAGTCATCGGAAACACCCGTTCGAAGCACAATAGAGAATGTGTTTGGTGAGCTCAAATTTAACCTTTATCACATTTGCTATTGTTGTACAGTGGTGCCTTGACTTGCGAGCGCTTCCTACCTCTGAGTTTTTCAAGTTATGAGCCGTGATCATTTTTTATGCTTTGTGTTGTGAGCCAAATTTTTCATACGAGCGAGCTTCGGATGTACCGCTGCTCGAGTCAAGTAGGAAAAAAAGGGTTCGGTTCAGTTATCTACAAAAAGATGTTCATTGTTATGACTAATAACTTTAAAGTTGTTTTGCAACTATTCACACATGCCTACAAAAAAAAAAAAATTGGAACAGGGACATGTTTACCAACTTCAGTTGCTCAGCTGTTTCTGTCATCATATTTTGCAGTCCATAATGCGCCACAGAGCTTCAATGGGAGACGGGTCTGGACAGCTGGCAGGCTAGTGTCAGACTCGCACTCTTTTACTTTGAAGCTATGCTGTTCAAAAAAATGCAGAATACGATTTGGCATTGTCTTGCTGAAATAAACAGGGACATCCCTGAAAAATGTGTTCCTTGGACCGGAGCAGACAGTATGAGCTCCAAAACCTGTTTTTACCTTTCAGCATTATTGGCGCCTTCACAGATGCCGACGTTACTCATGCCATTGGCACTAACACAGCCCCATACCAACAAACAGTAGATGCTGGCTTTTGAACTTCACGCTGATTTCAATTTAGGTGATCCGTGACTTCCGAAAACAATTTGAAATGTGGGCTCATCAGAACACGGCTCGCTTTTCCACTTTGTGAACTCCCAGAGAAGTTGGTGCTGTTTCTGAGTGCTGGTGATACAGAGTACAGTTTTCGCTTTGTGTGGTAGAGTTTCAATTTGTATTTGGAGATGGGGGGGCAAAAAACTGTGGGCTGACAATGGCAATGCCTTCTACACAAGGATACTGGATTTTAATGCCGTGCCGTTTCATCCTGCATTTCTGATGTTCCAGCCCCAGTCACTCCCAGCCGACCTTCAGCCGTTTTGCTGCGTGGTTCAGGCGAACTTGTGTGCCTGGTGTTCGGCTTCAGTCCCGCATCCATTAACATCTCCTGGTATCTTGATGACGCCAATGAGCTGTCTTACTTCAACACTAGTCAACCCAGCAGAGGTCCCGATGGAAAGTTCAGCATCCAGAGCCGCCTTCGCCTGTCCCAAATCGACTTGTTACCCGGGGTGGTCCACACCTGTAGAGTAACACACACAACCCTCACGCTGACCTTGAATGTAACAAATCCAGGTACTAATCTGTGACCGTCCTGCACATTGGTCAAAAGAACACTTTGTCTTTATAAAACAGTGCCATAATCACTAATTTTTCATTTTATTTTTAGTGATCTTACCAGATTGCAATGTCTTGGATGACATTGCTGATGCAGTTGTCAATCAAGATATCAATGTGGAAAGCTGGTATATGTCTGCCACATTTCTTGTGCTATTTCTCATCTCCATCGTGTACGGTGTCTTGGCCACCTTGGTAAAGGTAAGCTACAACAGGTTTGTGATTTCATATTAAAATCAGTTTCATGCAGATTTTGGCATATGATCTGATGCACTGTAACTCATAGCTAACAAACAAGAACCTAACTTTCTTCCTTTCCTTCTTTCCTCCTTTAGACTAAATAGCTGTGACATCAGAACGTGTGCGACTGAATTCTTCTAACATGGATCATTTGCTGATTGTCGAACAATGTGTGAGGTGGCCACCAACGTTGTGGCTTGTCCGTATAAAATGATATTTTATGCCAACGTATACCAAAGCAATCCAACAAATAGGATGACATCAGAGCAATGTAATTGGACGTTAAGTAAATGTCATGGCATAAAAAATAAACTAATAAGATATATTGTTCTTTTGTTTGATGGTTAGTTTTTCCAATTGAAAATACAGTAATCATAGAATAGTGACCTAACGGAAACACAGCCGCAGTGATTCAAACTCACCACTAGAGGGAGCCAAAGCTCGAACTTTAGCATTTGCGGCTTGAAAGCTTCACGATCACCTGAGACGCAAAACAGAAAATAATGTTCGGCCTTGACGGTCCTACTCCAGAGTATAAAGAGAAACATTCACTTGAATCAAGAGATGAGTTTTGTCTCTTTTTTTTCCAACGCCTGCATATTTATACACAAGTATGTGCACACTCCCACTATGTAAACACTGTCTGTGTTTTGTGTATATGGTGGGTTTATGGAATTTCCATCAGGGAGGGATGGCACTCTGCACATCCAGGATCACTATTGGCTAGCTCTGGAATAATTTGCTTCTGTCTGCGTATGATTGGCTGGGGACCTGAGGGAGCCTGCCCAAATCGCTGACGCTGTTGCTGGGATGCGGACACTGCACACTGATGCCAACCGAATTGCCAAGGGGCCGGCAATCGGGAAGCATGGCATCAGGCCCAGCAGGCTGCCTGAGACTGGGTCACTTGTCTATGGCCACTAGAGTGTCCCATACTCAGAACAACCTGAACTTTGATTGGCCAACTCAATGCATGCTATAGAATTCTTTTGCAGATGTGGGGTCATGAGTTCGAAATGTCTTGCATCAGGGTCAAAAAGTTGTAAACTATCTTGTTGATCATCGAGCAGACTGCTTGGAAAAATAAACTTTACAATTGGTGGTAATAAAAAAAGTTCATTCTTTGTCAGTATCTGTTTTGAGCTAAAAAGGCTTTGGGAAACAGCTCTCAATTTTCAAAGGGTGCTGACCCCAGGCGTACATACTGCGTCGACACCCACCGAGGATTTTAGTGGGCTCACGCAGTTGTCTTAAGGTGCATGCAAAAATGTCGAGATGTTCATGCGCAAACACCGATTCCAGTGAAGCTGGAATGATGTTCAAATACAAAGTCAATGGTTTGCTAACAACACTTCACTGCTTCCCTGTGTACTTTTTACAACTGTGTTTGTTGACAAACATTATACAATACAATAATAAAACTTTATTAATAATAGAGCATTTCACAACAGCTGCAGCTGTAACAAAGCACTTTACATATAACTACATATAACAACTATAGAAAGTGAAAATAGTGAATAAAAACAGAAAGGAATGATACTAATTCTTACACAGTAGACACCAAAAACACTCGAACAGTGACCCAAAGTCGAAGACCAAAGAGTGAAGATGTGTCTTCAAATGAATTTTAACAATGGATTGAGGTAAACTGGGTTGATTCCATTTCAAAATTTGAAAACAAATAGAATGAACTCTTAAAATGTGGAGCCATGAATAGAAAGCAGAATTGGTGTTATATGCGCCCTCTTTCGAGCTCCAGTTAGAGGGAAAGCAGCAGCACATAATAGAGCGCCCCACCATTATTATTATTAATTTTTTTAAGGATGGGCCAGCATGCTCGCTTGCTGATGATTCTCCAAGCCTGCAAGTCTGGAATGACGCGCTTGTCTTCTTGAACCCTGCACCATCAATGTTTCCGTGGTCCGCAGTCACCGGGGATCACGACAATCGCTATCGGAGTTCCAGTCGAAGGTGGCGAGGGAGCGTCTCGTGCGCCGGGGGAACGCGAGGGGAGGGAGGGAAGACAAAGGGGGGTCGTCTCAGGATCCAGCGGCGGCGGAAGAAGAGGAGAAGGAGAAGCCAAGTGGGATGACCGGGGGGGGGGGGGGGTGCCAAATGTGGGAGGGCCCGTTTGCGCTTCACGTCAAGGTTGCCGCCGACGATGACGGCGAAGAATCCGACTGATACGGGACTTTTAAAGTTCGGGAGAAAGTAGGGGACGAGTCCAGGTTACCCCGACTTCCCCAAGCCGCCTGTTGCTCATAAAGCGAGGGGGCGAAAGCCCCGCACCGTGTTGCTCTTTGTCACCAACACGGCAAAATGCGGCGGCGGTCAGGTGTGCGTCAAGACAGCCCTCGCTAACTGCACTTGGGAAGAATTGCTCGTTGTTGTGTGCCCTCCCCCACCCCCGCTCGCTGCCGCACTGGTTCCGTCTGGCTCGCGCTCAGCTGCTGCGTGTCCCGGGATGACCTGTTGATGTCGGTAGAATGGAGACTGGCAGGGGGAGCGATTTCCCCCATCACCAAAATATTTAAATAAGCCACATTTGGGTGCTTGATAAGCGACGTCGCAGCCGAGCTACCTCGCCCGCCTTGACAGTAAGTGCTCTGTGTGTGTTTGTGTGTTTAGGAGTACGGGCCGACGTGGAAATGTTTAATTTTTGTTGGATTGAGTGCGCACGAGGTGGATGGTGAGCCCAAAATATTTAACAGTTAGCTTTAGCCGTTAGCTACCTCGACGGGCCCACTGCGGATTGGGGAGGACGGTGTTCGGCTCTTGCAGTCCCACGAGACTGTCGCGACGAATGTAGTCGTTCGCGAAGGGGGGGTGGTGGGGCGCGGGAGGGGGCTTTTGGGGGGACGCATTCGGAGTGCAATTTGACCGCACGTCAGCCGCGGGGACAACCTGGCGCTGGCCGGGCTCTCGCTGCCAGCCCGTGGCGCCTCCCTCGCGTCGCCTCCGGTGCCAGCCGACAGTCGAGAGAGCCCAGCCGGCTGGTAGACTGGCACCGAGTCCTCGTGTGCCCCTGGTTACCCAGCATCCCTTTCGGGTAAAACATACGAGTGCAGATGCTTGTGTGTAACGTCTCGATAATAAAATACAGTATGTGGGTTTGAATGCAGGAATAACCAGACACTGTCTGCCATAACTTGATGCGGGCATACGAGAACCAGGAAATGCCTGCAGAAAAAAAAAAATCAGCATTGTGTGCCAGCTGCAGCAATGACTCCACAGTCCAGCAGCCCAAAAGGGCTGCTTCATTTTTGAAGTGCTCACTGTCACACCACCAAATGTAGAATTTGAAAAAAAGCATGCAAGTCATTCGCTAGACATGATGAAAAGCTCTTGAGTGTGCTTCGTGTTTGACCCACTTTTCCAGCCTGCCCGGTTGAGTGTTTTGATTTGAAGTTAAATGGCATTCTGAGCACTCGGTTGAACGGAAGGGCGACCTGGGATGATCCCTCTGTTCTCTTCGAGACTCGGTTGCCCCTCCTTGGTGCATAAAGACGCATGCACGCTCCGTCACATCTCTTTTACTGTCAGAACAAACTGTGCAGCCCCCCCTGGCCCCTCCTCTCCAAACCCAGTGTTTGTGTGTCTTCATGTGCAAGCATGTGTGCACACTGCGGCTCGCCAATCCGTAAACAAGCTGTATTGTCTGTGTGCGAGTCAGTGTGCCTTTTGTGGGTTTGTTTGAGTTGGTGTGTGCGCATCTGTGTTTTAGTATGAGGGAGAGGGAGCTCGAGTGAGACAAAGAGAGCATTTCTCTTTACCCTGGAGCTTGGCGAAGTCCCAAATGAAAGGCTTTGGATATGATGGGGCTGCTCTCACCAGCCTTCACTGGTCACTCCCACCATACATTCATTTGGTTTGCTTTGGACATCAAAAGATGAAGACCGGGGGATCATTTCAGCCTTTAGCTTCAGGCACTGACATCGGCATCTGATGCACAACTTACAAACAAGCATTGTCAACGAAACTCGACATTCTTAGGTTTAAAGAAGCAAAAGTATTGAAACAGTCTTCAAAGAATCTTATTAGCATAATTTTTTTTTTGCATTTTCCTTCTATAGACAGAATGTTTCTGTAGATTTCTGAATTCTTTTTGCAGCATGCCGCCACCATGTCTTACATGAGGGATAGTAAGGTGAGCTCATCTGAGAAAAAGCCACACAAGTCCAAGTCATGATAATACCTCCACATTTTGACATCATTGTATGTGATCGATGAAAGCAAACTGTCTACTGCACGTCATATTTACTCGCTAAATGGATTTGCTCTTTTCATTTTGAGACGCAGGGAGCAAGCTACGCTCAGTAAAGTAAGTTGTCGAAGCTTCGACTTGGACTGAGACAAGTTTGACTTGGGCCTGACGATTTAGTGGAAGATGCTTTGCTCCAGTTATGTAGTGATGAGGCCGTTCTGTGACGAGGCTTTAATTTGTTCGGTTCTCATTTACTTAAAAGTATCACACGGGGAGCTGCGCTTTGTGAGAGGCATGAAACGGGCATACTGACAAAGTATCGTTTGCAAATTGAATACATGACAGAGTGTAGTATACAAACTCCACAGAGTACCTTCTAACTCTTGATGGACAGATATATTACACGAGCGAATGAGTTAAAAAAAAAAAAACATCAACAAAAACGTTACCTTTAGTCGTGTTTGCCAGCCGGCTTGTCGTGTACACGTAGCGCCCAAATTCCCGCGTGCAAGTTTCCTTTCCAAGCTAGCGTCGCTCCACTTCGGAGTAATTAAATTCAAATGTATTGTTTTGGTCCTTATTTGAGTTTAAAGCTGCGGAGAAAATGTGTACATTCAACGTGGCATCCATTTCAACGGTTTTCACGGCCATCTCAGGGCAATTGGACCCGTGATGAAAATGAATTTGACACCCCTGCTCTAAATGCATATCGGGCTGCTGTAAAGGTTACATTAACATTGCCATTTGCTTTCATTTCAGTAAAGGGTAAACATATGTACGCTCACAAGATACGATGTCGATTGGATCATCGAGGGTTCGATTGGCATGAGGGTTCATATGCACGGGAAAAAAAAAAGTACTGAGTCACTCGAATCTCCAGAGATTGCCCGAAAGTGTCTTTTAGAAGGGGCGCAGTTGCAAGATGTTTGCTTTTGAATGTTTGGTGTACAGTGAATAGAATCATGCTATGTGCTGTTTGTCGAAGCCACACACACACACACACACACACACACACACACACACACACACACACACACACACATGCAGAGAACAACAGCACATGACCCAGTTATCTAAGGACACTGGATTTTATGGCTCATAGAAGACAGAACATAAAACAGGCTTTCATTGAGCTCGGCCAGTAACGGCTCCTGAGAGGCCGACGTGACGTATGGGATTAATGGAATGCAGATTGTCCGCCAAATCTCGAACAAATATCGTCGTTTCGTCGGCGCCTTCAATGGGGCTGTGTGAAGAATTGCGTGTGCCAGATAGCTAACGAACACTGAAGCCCCATTTATCGCCGTTCGGGGGATACGTTCCAGAACCACCTGTGGTATGTGAAAAAAGTGCCGTATAGGGGGATGTTGATTTCAGGTTTTTGAGGATTGAAATGAAAAGCCGTCGCAATGTGTTGGTTGGTGATGACGTAAGTGGTACACTCACCTGAGTTTGATGCTGGCCGCATGGGTTCACTTCCCTATTCGGTGACGGCGACGATTGTAATTGTGAACGTTTGTCTGTCTCTGTGTGCCCTGAGATCGACTGTCGACCAGTCCAGGGTGTAGCCCGTCTTTCGCCCAAAGTCAGCTGGGCTCACCCTGATCCTTAGTTTTTTTTTTTTTTTTTTTTTTTTAAATCGCCATTGGTGATCGCCTCTGAAATCCCGATTGTGTAAAGCCTCCAGCCGGCATGCAGTGTAAAGGAGCGTTCGGCGCTGTCGTGAGTCACACTCGTCTGCATTGAAAATCCTCTCGATTTTTTTTTGTTTTGTTTTCTTTTCCCAAACAGAGCCTTTGTTGGTGTGCATTGGCGCACCATGGCCCAGACCCTCCAGATGGCGATCCCAAACTTTGGCAACAACGTTTTAGAGTGTCTGAACGAGCAACGTCTGCAGGGCCTCTACTGTGACGTCTCCGTGGTGGTGAAGGGGCACGCCTTCAAGGTAGGCCTCTGCTTTTCTCCCTTCCAAAACATCCCATAAAGCAGGGGTCCCCAACCTTTTTTGCCCCACGGACCGGTTTAAGTCAGACATTATTTTCAGGGACCGGCATTTAAGGTGTGGCGGAATTAATACAACAAAATAATATGGTATGAGCTGCATGAAAACTGTGGTGTTTTCGAAATATAATAATAAACACAAGGAACGTCTAATCTGGTCGCAACACTCTTATCGCTCTGGTAATGTTTAATGCCTTCAAAATACGATACAACGCAAATTCAAAGTGCATGAAAATGACGACTCACCACAGCACCGAGCTTGATTTTCTGCAATCAGACAGTCCCATCTCGGGGTAATAGGAGACAATGACACCTCAAGTGTGTGGTTTATGTCCAGTCTACTTCGTAATTTTGTTTTAGTCGCTGCTGCTGCAGAAACTCCCCACCTCACACAGGTAGGATGTCGGAAATAGCAACAGTGCTATTGTGGCGATCTCAGAGT